GTAATCAAATAAACAACTACGTACCTTCGTTAAATTCTGATTTTAAGAATCATATTTTAATAAACACATTTGGGGTTGGATTTTGATTAAAAAGGAAGTCATACTAAGAAGCGTAAGAAGAGATATCCATCATTAGATCAATTCTAATTAAATGTCAATACTAAATAAGTGCATCGAGATGTACCGAATCAATTTTGTTCTAAGCGTAATTCATGGGTAGGCGTGAGATTAAAAGCGATCAAGGGTTCAGATGTCTTATTATGCTTCTCATACGATCCTTGACCACATATTTAAATATATCTTTTTTAAGGGTTGAGTTCCAAAAAGAAGTAAATTTAATGTGAGAAACGTAAGAAGGGTGAGATGCACATTAAAATGAGATGTACCCAGATCAATCCCCGTATCAAACACGATTCATGAGTGAGTTTAAAGTTAAAAGTGATTAAGAGTTCAAATCCCCTCTCACACAATCCTTCGCTCTATCTTTTAAATCGTAGATATTCAAATAAACTACATATTTAGAAGCATACACATTTAAACATGTTTTATAAAACTAGAAAGGTACTCGCGCAATGTAGTGAGATACATCTTCATTTTAATGTTTCGTTTTATTCTGTCATTGTCGATGTTATAATACGGTTTTATGTGGTTTTGAGAAAACGATAATGATTTTATTTTTGAATAAAATATAAATTTGAAGATATCATAAAATTTTGAAAAATATATATATATCCATATTAGTATCAAATTAATTATTTACAAGTTCTTTTTTTTGTAATTTATTTGATTCAGTTTTTTTATTATAATTTAATTTAAGTTTAATAACGAAGTAATTTATTTTTGATTTTATAAAAATAATAATTAAATATTCTGTTAAAACTCAATGATTATCCTAATTATATTTTAGATTTTTTATATTTAAAATAAAAATGTTTATCATGTATTTGATTATGTTTATCTGTAGTTAGTTATATGATTTCAAACATGAAGCTTTAATAAATGTACGTATGTACAATTTACTTGTAATCTTGAATTTTAAGTAATATGCAACAATAAACAGTACTTCATGTATAAAAAATGGTTTTTAAGAGTTTTTGTCAAATATTTTATAATATAACTAGAAGGGTACTCGCGCAATGCAACGATATACATCTTAATTTTAATATTTCATTTTATTCTTTATCTCAGTCGATGTTATAATATGGTCTTATTCGATTTTTAAAAAGCGATGATGTTTTTTTTTAATAAAATATAAATTTAAAGTTATGATAAAATTTTGATAAAAATATATCGATATTAGTATCAAATTAATTATTTAAAATCCTCAATTTTTGTGTAATTTTTTAATTCAATTTTTTAATTATAATTTAATTTAGATTCTGTAACGAAGTAATTTATATTTGGTTTARTAATATAATTTTCTTATAAAGATAATAGTTAATTATTTTGTTAGAACTAATTAATTATCCTAATTGTATTTTAGATTTTTTATATTTTAAAATGAGATGTTTATTGTCTATTTGATTATATTTATCCGCAGTTAGTTACACGAATTCAAAAATAGAGTTTTAATAAGATGTACTTATGCATAATTTACTTGTAATCTTGAATTTTAAGTAATATGCATCAATATACAGTACTTTATGTATAAAAAAGGGAAAAGTCCAAAAAAACTCAATGGATTTTACTGTTTGGAATGATTAAGTCATTGGATAATTTTTGGGAACAAATAAACTATTGGACATTCTAAAACCTGTTAAATAAGTCATTGGACATTATAAAACCTGTTAAATAACTCCTTGGACTTTCTAAAATATGTTAAATACATTTTGTTAGTGGAAAAAGTCCGAAAAAAACCCAATGAACTTTCATATTTTGAATGATCAAGTTCTTAAACATTTTTTGAACGAAAAAAGTACTTACATTTATTAAAAAAAACAATATACCATTCTCATTGCTCTTCATAAAACATATAAAAGTTGTATACAAAGCATAATAATCTGCGTACAAAAATTGGGCATGATTTTACCAAAAGTTAAACCAAAATATATATCAAAAGTTGAACCAAAATATGTAATAAAAGTTGCGCCAAAAATACTAACAATTGCGCTAAATATACCAAAAATTGCGCCAAAAAATACCAATGGTTGAGCCAAATATACCAAAAGTTATGCCAAAATATACCAAAAGTTGGGCTAAAATATATTAAAGTAATGCCTAATCTATGTTAAGGTCATGGTATGAACTATTCTTCATTTGCATCATTAATTTCTGGTGGAGAAATAACCATTTGACTTTCTTGCAACCCTTCTTGATGTCTAACAACATCATCACTTTCATAATGTTCTTCATCACCAACAGTTGTATCACCTTCATGACGGTCTTCATAATTAACAACAGTCTCTCTTGAAATTGAATACGGTATCGACTAGCATACCTCCCTGAGTTCTTAATCTATCCCTTTCTTCTTGGCAAATGTTCAGTTCATAACTGTTGAGTAAAAAATGGAGAAATAAAAGTAGGTCATTAGCAGCAGTAAGCAATGTTAGGCATTCTCTGTCTACAAATTAAACAGTGAGCAAAAAACTATTGAAAACATAACAAGTTTGGGTCAAAAGAAGCTCTAACAACCCCAACCTGCTCGTTGCACTCTTTCAACCCACAAGTCTGATAAGTCCGTTTTGTATTATGGGTGTTCCTCTATTTATAGTTTAAATAACTTTTAACATATTCACCGAGATGCATTAATATAATACACAAGCTCTTTAAAATGCAGCAAGTGCTCTCATTCAGTAAACAGCCTCTAGTTAAACAAACAAATGTTGAAAGATAAAAGACATCTACAGTATGTGATGCATATGTAACATCCACGTAAAAACTACATAGTGAACTTAGAAAACAAATTGGAAGTGATACTTACACTCCAAGTAGGAAAGTCCAAACCTCTGACCTGATACTTGCATCAACTCCCTACAGATCATTTAGTAGGAGAATGGAGAAATAAATTATTCAAACCCTGTAAACTTTAAAACAAGTAAAATTATCAGATCACGTGAAACTGGGAACACACCGCACTACGAACTTTTATTTCTTTGTCCACAGCCAGGCCTTCATAAGGACCTTGACTTGGTAAAGTGAGTTGCAATTAGAGTCCTTGGAACTACATACTTTCAACAATCACAACCCGGTAAGCGCTTACCAGTATAATTCAACACTATCACTTACTTACCGGGTAAGATTTTAGTCAACAAAAACGGCATCGTATGCAAGAATTTACCCGGTAAGCGCTAAAAATGGTAAGAGTCTTCGTCCTCACTTACCGGGTAAGATTCTTGGTCCTTACCATATTCATCCATTAAGTTAATATGACTTGGTAAGCGATAAGCGTTTGATTAACGACCCCTAAATGGTTGCAATCATATTTATATTTTGTATGTCAAACAAAGTGATCCTTCTCTTTAACATTTGTAATGCCATATAACGTTTAACCCGTTTGCATTGGTTATGAGAAAGAATTGTGATAAGAAATATCTAATGGCTAGCTAATTACCTCCAACTGGAATACAACTCACACTGTAAAGTAGTAGTTACAAAGATACAAAAGTACAAAAGCCAGGGATATCCTGCAATGACTTTTAAAGGTCATATTGTGTATAGCAGATCATTTTCAGAGGCGGAGAAAGCTGTAAATGAGCTGTTAACGTTTGTTTAAACTAAGAATAGGGATGGGGGTCGTGCTGTTTTTGGATTTGACATCGAGTGGAGACCAACATTCAAGAAAGGTTACTAGCTGAACATAATATCTTTTTAATTGCAGTTTGTCATTTGTTCTTGATTGCAAATTAAACACACATCCAACTAGTGAGTTTTTTAGTGTTCTTTTACCAGATAAACAATCACATTAACAATGATCGATTTATGCTAGAAGATCGAGTGATTCATATTTTGTAGTAAAGCAATTGGACAAATTTATAATAATCGACATGATTCATCTTTGATATTGTAGATATGTAAGTTGCACATTAAAATGTAATCATATGATGAACAAGTTCAACCATTAAAATAACAAGTTCTCAATCAGAAGTTCTTTGCCACAAAAGTTGCAATGGTAAGCACATAAGCATCAAACTGCTTACAGCAGCATTACAACCATGTTGCAACTTGCATTAATACAGGCTCTGATACTAGAAGATTATTAAGATAAACAAGGATCCGATTTTCTACACCTGTTCCAAAAAGTTGATGCCAACCAATTTCAAGTTTTCAAACTAATACAGCAAATCCAAGGAAATCGACAATGTTAGAACAAACCTGATTAGATCAAACTGCAGCGGGATCGGCAATAGAGACGGTTTAATTGCAACGACCGGCGATGGGATGGTGGTGTATGGCGACGAGCGGAGACAGGGCTGGGTGCGGTGGCGACGAGCAGAGACAGGGCTGGGTACAGTGGCGACGAGCGGCAACAGGAGTGGTGCGGTGGTGCGGCGACTACAGGGGTGGTATGCGCGACGACGAGGGTGGTGCATCAGGGACCGGTGAGAGGGAGACGTGGCATCGGGGCGTTAAGCAGCGACGGTGGTGTGGAGACGAGAGGGAGACGATGAGTGAGATGGGAGTCATCATTTTTAGGATATTAAGGTTTTTTTTTTTAATTTGAGTTTACCTACAGGTTACGTTCTAAATAAATAAGGATCTATTTAACAAATTCTAAAAAGTTTAAGAATTTATTTAACAGGTTTTAAAATGTCTAATGACTTATTTGATCTAAAAAATTGTCTAAAAACTTAATCATTCTAAACAATAAAGTCCATTGAGTTTTTTTGAACTTTTTCCTAAAATTAAACGTAAGATTTTGTTATAAAAGAAAAAGAAAAGGAGAAAAACAAAGAAAAGAAAAGACAATAATAGCAGCCGAGCAGAGCAGAGCAGTCCATGAATATGATCACGTTTAGAAGGCCTTATTTGACCTGACCATGAGTTTTGCGTTTTCTTCTCTATAAATTCAAAACACCATTTTCAGCACCAACTACTATCCAGATCCTCCCTTAAACTACCATTCATCGATACCACCCAAGACCTCGATCATCTCTATAAAGTACTCACTCATTCACCTTCCAGCCTTCAATCAACTGCTGGGTGGAACACCATCAATTCTTCTCATTCCAGAGCATGGAGGTCAGAGCTAGAGCTCCTGGCAAGATCATACTCGCCGGAGAACATGCCGTTGTCCATGGATCTACAGCCGTCGCCTCCTCCATTGGCCTATTTACATCTGTCTCTCTTCGCTTTCCCTCACCTTCTGGTAATTTACTCTTTTTTCATTTCTGTTTAGGAATAGCGATTTTGATTTTTGTGTAATGTAGTATTTGATTTTCAATTTGGAAACGACGGTGAAGTTTATGATTTGTTCAATCTTACAGTGATGCACTTTTTGATAACATTGTTTTGCATAGCATGCCATTGCTGTACTTTATTGAACAAGTCATCGTCTTTAATTTGATGAGCCTGGGAAAGCTCACCAGGTAAATTGAGGGGGCTAAAAACTTGCTTATTGCCCATTGATGCACCCATGGTATTTTACCAGACAACCTGTGAGCGGGATTCTAGTTCGCCAACACCTTCAACTCATCATAAAGCAAGCTGCAATTAGTTGAGCATGTCTAGTTTGGCTTCAACAGACCATCATTCATGATCATTCACCTTAGAGAAGCTTGTTGGAAGGATTAAATCTATAATACTGTTGGAGAAATCTTGAAAGAATACTTAATGATTTGATGCAACTGAAAGACCAAACATCAATTGGCTAAGCTCGTTCCTGTCACCCATTTCTCATATGGTTCCTAACCCTCTTAAATATGAAAAAAGTGCTTCTTGAAGATGGGTAATTGTTTTGATACTTTGCATAAGCTCAAACTTTAGAGTAGTTAACATTTTGCCTTTACCTTATCAAAACATTTATAAATAATTTTATATCCCTTACAAGAAAAATTCAACATAATAATTACACCGTTCATTTACATATCAAGATCTTCATATTTTATGTTCTTTTCCTCATAATTTTTCTTCATATATATGAGTTATAAGAACATGGGATGGCCCCATGAAAAAGATATCATGCTTACAAGAAAGACTTCATTGGAGATACCGGCAAACAACCTTGAAATTTAACAAACCAGCCTTGTAAACTCCCTTGAAGATAGCAACAATCCAATCTTGGAAAAGGAACTTCATATATTTGAAAATCTGATACTGGAAACTCCAGCAAGATATCTAAATTATGCATGTAAGATTATATTCTAATCAAACTTATTCCATCAATTCCAAAAACCATAAGCTAATAGAATCCTCTTTTGGTTTATATTCTGCTCAAGTTACACCTTAAAATTTTACATACTGGTCCATAAGCCTCTTCTAACTTTGATTATATATAATACACACACATACCATTGAAATGTCACAGTAGTTCTGGGATGAGGAGAAAAAAACATAAATAAGTAAAATTTGGATCCTTTTATCAGCATATAGTCGACGTCTCAGTGGCTGGTTAGAAGCATGTGGAATACCTTGGTTTTGGACATCTGACTCATGTCATCCTAAAGTTCTATTGTACATAGCAGATGTTAATAGATAAATACAAGTAGGGGAATTCTCTTGAGTTTGAGAGTACTTTGTTCTGCCCCTCCCTTGCCTGCTTTGCTATCACCCATACGTTCTGCATAACTTCAAATTCTTCCTCTTCATCTAGGAGACTAGGAGTAAAGAGAACATGATATTTTGCCACCTACATCATACCTAGGAGTAAATTTATCACTACTGTAAAAACAGAACCTTTCTTTGTTCTATCCTCGGTTGGTAGGGAAGTATTGGTTTTCATTTTGATTGTAGCATGGGTTATTAAAAAAAAACTCTTTCTTGGCTTAGAGTAAATTGGAAGTTTGCAGCTTCAATGATCATTTTGGTGTCAGATCATAACATTTAATCTTAGACAGGAAGAAATTTTGGAAAAATACTGAATTAGAACCAAGGGTGCCAAGTTTCCGTCTAGAAACGTAGGATATGATCATCATACCTAAGGTAACCTGAGGCGTCTCACCAAGGATCGATTGCATCACATCATCATATTCTTTCTGATGTTGATTCATTTATTCAAATCGTTGTCCTTCTATTACAAAGGAGTAACATTACTGGTTGATATAAGGATTGCCAAGGCTACTCCTTGAGGTCACCCGTATTAATAACAGAGAATAGTTAAATCAGTCCAATTGCATAAGAGTTGTATTTTCCCTAGAATTTTGTTCCCATCAGTCCAATTGCGTTGAGGTTTCTCATATCTCTTTTTGTTGACCCCAGGCAAATAACCTGACTTAAGTGTTCAGGGTTGAGCGCCCCATTCCATTTACATTTCTCATTAGCTCACTAAGGAAGGCTGCATCAAACCTCCTGCTGACCTTATTCTTCTAAGCTGCCTCAGACATAGTTTTCAAATGGATCTTCATGCTTCTATACACTCAGATGTGTATGATTTTGGTGATAGCATCCTTCAAATCTTCATTTCCCAAATTTAAACCTTATATCATTCACCAAGTCCCATCATCTGATGGTATTAGCCCACGGACTAAGCTAATGCTTGGTACCTTAAACTAGACTTCCATCAAGTATATGGATATTTATTTCATGGGGCTCCTCCATGAGACAGAAATCTAAGTGTTATTTGCATTCACGTGCCCAATTCCTAGGAATACCGTCTAGAAAAAAGAAATTCGGGGTACTACTCGTTGGCCAAGGGCAATTGAGGTACATATTGCCTTTTTGGGGTAAATTTGATTATAATGTTGGCGCAATTGTGTTGACCAACTAACTGCTGATAGAGATGTAGTGTGAGTAATAAGAGAAGGGATGATGGAAGTGTGTATATGCTGTAATGCTGATAGAACAGTTGTTTGGAGTGCTTCTGTTTCCACCTATTCCTAGTGTGAGAAGGCTGCAGGATTTTCATCATCTTCTTGGGTTCGAGCACGGTTTGTTGGTTTGGCCTGCTCTTTGCTTGCCAGTATAAATCTCCTCTTGATCTGTGCAACTTGTGACAGCTTTGAATCTTATTTGTTCTGATACAGTTGAACTGCCTTAATACCAGTCTCCTCAATCTTAATTTCCAGAAAGATAAAGTCAACTACACTGATGCAGTTATTATCCAATAAACAAATTTTGTGGAATAGGATGAGCTCATTTGAATGCTGAAACTCTTTCTCATCTACGTCAGCCTTTGAGCAAACCTCTTCCATTTCACGATGTGAGGCATCATATCCCAAAACTATACCAGTTGTTATGAGAGTTTGTATTCCATTTAAAATTGTACATATGTATGTATGCCACTAGTGTTCTAATCCCATCAAAGTTAATAGAAACAAATACACATATCAATCTAAAATTGTATCATTGCTGTACTATATGGTAATGAAATAGGACAAGGTTCAGCATTAGAAGTGTACTAGTGTCTATTATTCATTTAAAATATGTTCATCCTCACTAGCTTAATGGAATAGATTCAACTAGCGTCAACCATATCAATCTGCAGATCAGTGGTGATAACTGATTTGTTCTTTTGCATCCACTATGTTGCAATCATATTTTTCGGATAAATTTTCTAACACCTTTAACATGCTAAAAGACACTGGCAGAAATACTTTTTTAAATTGAAATAGGAGTATTGGTTCAAGCTCATTGAAGTTATCTTTACCCTTTTTTCTATGTTGTGATTTCAAATCAGTTATCACCAATCACTATTTTTTTAATCAAAATGACTGGGGCACAGTTTAAAGCAATCTGAAATGGCTTATTGATTGTCAGTGAAACAATACTCCGACAAAGGCGCACAAGCAATTTCATTTTTGAGGTGTTATTTTGTTACAAGGACTGGATGCAAAGAAAGTTGACATGCTTTTCCTAAAATAATTACCTCATAAATTCATTTTAGAAGATATGTACCCCACCCAGCCAACCAGAAAGCAAAGTTTCCCCTTATTCATAGACACAAGGGTATTGCTCAAATTTTGATACGGAAATACTAAAAAGAATATTAGTAAACAAAGGAAATCAATTGGCTAAATCAGATCATGATAGTTTCCATATTGCATATGCATTAACCAAATATTCATCCCTATTTGCTTGACAGTTTATTTGGAAACTCGTCAATTGAGTTTAAATTAAATTCTGAACATCTTTCTGTGGTGCATAGGCGTTTCATTTCTATTTTATTTATTTTTTTGATTAACCTGGACATCCAACCCGCTATGCGAGCTGACTAATCCCAGGGCGACCACCTGCTTTGCAAATAGCCCAGAGTCACCGCATTTGAACCTCCGTGGCCACAAGGGGATTTTTATTTCTCCTTGGATTTGAACCTGGGACCTCCAGGTACTTTTGACCTTTGGAGCCAAGCTCAAACCAATTAGGCACCACCCTTGTGGTTCCGTTTCATTTCTATTTGTTATGGTAATTGCTAGAAAAGACTATAAATAGCATAGGAATAATGTATTGATGATAGTAGCATCTTTCAATGATAAGATATAATTGCATCATCCGACTGCTGTGAAGCTTGATACATACTTCATTTTTTTCCCAATAGATAATGATGATACCCTCACACTCCATCTCACGGATGTGGGCCTAGACTTTTCATGGCCAGTTGGAAGAATCAAAGAGGTATTACCTGGTTCAGTCAACAGTATTGTATCCTCACCCACGACCTGTTCTCCGGAGACCGTTAAACACATTGCAACTCTAGTGGAAGAACATAAAATTCCAGAGGCAAAAACTGGAATTGCTTCTGGCGTTATTGCTTTTCTATGGTTATACACCTCTATCCAAGGGTATACTTTCTGTCATAATTTCTAGTGACGGGCGTTTCTTTTAACCTTTTAAGCCTGCTAACCTAATTTTTCTGCTTCAGGAATAAACCAGCAACGGTAACTGTTTCTTCTAAGCTTCCTTTGGGTGCAGGATTGGGGTCATCTGCAGCATTCTGTGTCTCACTCTCTGGCGCCTTGCTTGCTTTATCAGATTCTGCAAAAGTTGACTCTAGCCAAGAGGGATGGATTGTATTTGGAGAAAAAGAGCAGCAATTAGCAAACAAATGGGCTTTTGAAGGTGAAAAGATTATTCATGGGAAGCCTTCTGGGTTAGACAACACAGTCAGCACATTTGGTATGCCATCTTTTATATCAACTGTTGGCCGAAATATGAGATTTTTTATGCTTAATACCCCTGTTTAGTTATAAGGGGTACACTTTCTCCAGAACCAATTCCTTCTGGAACTAGTGCTGAGACTAAGATATCTGTATATGCACTGATATACGATACCATGCAGCATTCTGATCAGTAATATACTCCATCCGTGCCAAAATACATGTCCACATTTCAATTTCAGTTTTTCCCAAAATTAGTGTCCACTTTCAGAAATAGATAATTACGATTTACTAAAATTCCAATTATACCCTTAATTATCACGTAAGAGTATATTTTAAGAGTTGATGATATATATATATATATATATATATATATAGAGAGAGAGAGAGAGAGAGGGAGATAATGTTTGCCTCTGTCATTAAAAGTAAAAATTGTCGTTCAGTTGATTAAAAGTTTAATAATTTTACATCTCTAAAATTGTGTGCTTTTTTATTAAAGACATTTATCCTGGGTCGGAGGGGATAGTTATTTGTGCAGATTTTGCTGTAAAATCATCATATGCCTTTTTTACAGTAGTATCTATCTATCTATATATGTACGTATGTTTGTTTTTGTATCTATATACCATATTTGTAGGAACTTTGTGGCATCTTTGACTTCTTTTTCGTGTTACTGAATTTGCATATCTTAATTCGTGACAGGAAATTTGATAAAGTTCAAGTCAGGTGCCTTGACATGCATGAAATCAAATATGACACTTAAGATGCTAATTACTAACACAAAAGTTGGGAGAAACACAAAAGCACTAGTTGCAGGGGTTTCAGAACGCAAGAACAGGCATCCTGATGCTATGACGTCTGTATTTACCGCCGTTGATTCTATCAGTAATGAACTGGCTTCAATAATCCAATCATCTTCCAATAATGATCTTGACAAGGAACAGAGAGTAGAAGAGTTGATGGAAATGAATCAAGGTTTGCTCCAATGCATGGGGGTCAGCCATGCTTCTATTGAAATGGTGCTGCGGACAACATTGAAGTATAAACTAACTTCCAAATTGACAGGAGCTGGTGGAGGTGGATGTGTTCTAACTCTGTTACCAGCACGTATCCTTTTATACATTATACTGCCATTTGTTGTCTTACTGCTAAGTTCTCCCTCTTTTTGCAGCATACTCCATCTGTCCCAAAAAGAAATGCAACTTTTTTCTTTTCGGGAAAGATTTATTTTCAGATTTATCTCTTTGCCCATTAGCATTCTTCACAAGATATTGATGAAATTGATCATGGTCCACATTTTTCTAAATCCTGTGTTAATATTAAGGGGGATATTTTTGGTATCTGATCATTTTGTTGTATATGCATGCCATCTTTAACCCATAAGGATACATTGTTAGGGAAGCCTGACCAATAAAAATAGAGGAAGAATTTAAAAAATTCCTGATCTGGAGTTGTTGACCCTTGTCTCCCCACTACCATCAACCTGTTCATAGCCTGGTGATGATATTAGAACAAGAGTTGCTAGATGGTGAGGGAAGAGTTTGAAATGATGGTATGAAAACCTTTGATGGTAATGAAATGCTGATTTTGCCATCCCCATTTTTATGACTTTTTCTGTTGGTAACAATTAGCCGCCATGATGTAGCACAGTTGGTTTGGGAGTGGTATACTTGCACATACTGATCTTCTCCCTTTTTCTCATGAAAAACTGGGACATTATATATAAGTATATATAGGACTTAACCACAAGGGTGATGCTTGATTGGTTTGAGCTTGGCTCCAAAAGTCAAAAGTACCAGGAGGTCACAGGTTCAAATCCAATGAGGAATAAAAATCCCCTTGTGGCCACGGAGGTTCAAATGCGGTGACTCCGGGCTATCTGCAAAGCAGGTGGTCGCTCTGGGATTAGTCGGCTTGCATAGCGGGTTGGACATCCAGGTTAATAGAAAAAAAGTATATATAGGACTGTGTGAAGTATTTGTCAAAGGCTGCTTGCTTTATACGACTGGATGAAGTAGTAGTAGTTTGTCCAAGTAGACTTGCATTTCTTTATCTGAAGCTATAATGGTTTTCCAACCTCTATGCTTCTTGTATCTGAACTCCTTCTCTTACTTTTGGTTTTTTATGTTTTGAAAACTGTGGAACCCCATTAGATTACGAGCCCTCAAGAAGAGAAGGGCGATTCCAACATACTTCTTCCTCCCAAAATAAATGTCCACGATGCAAATGACACATAAGATTAGAATGTGCAAGTATACCTTTTTTATTAACGAGAAATGACAATTTTACCCTTAATAATAAAGGTAGTAATGAATTCCTCCGTCTCATAATTAAGGATAGAATTAGAAAGTAGACAGTTTTTTTCGGACAAGGTAAAATAGAAATGTGGACACTTGGTTTGGAATGGAGGGAGTATATTAAAGAGAATAGTAGCCAATGTGGGACTGAATCGTTTGTTAAACTCCTTTTTGATTGTGATTTCGCCTTAACAGTCGGCAACAGTATTGTCTGCAACAGTTATCGGCAAAGTGATCGAGGAGCTAGAGCAATGTGGATTCCAATGTTTCATTGCCGAAATCGGTGGGAACGGGCTCGAGATCTGCTTCGATGGTCAGTCATGATTCTTCCATTTATAACCATCTTACCTGTAACAAATAATGCAGAGATGGTGATTCTTAACTGTTGGAACAGTTTTCATTCTAGTTGTTGTAAACACTAGCTAGCTAGCTACTGCTGCTGCTGCTGATGATGATTTAGCTTTCATGTTGTTTGAAATAATATATGTACAAATGCTATTCTGCCATCCATCTATAGTGAAAAAGCCCTTGATTCAGCACAGTTGATCTACTGGTACAAACTGAAAAACAGTTTTTACCAAATTATTGATCAAATTAACCAACATAAATGATTAATCCTGGACAAGAGGATTGATGTTCTGGGGGTTATTGGTAATGAGACTTTACCATGAAACTTTCCTTTCCACTCCACATGAATAGAAGTAGATAAACCGGAATTGTTATTGATGATTTACGTCGAATGATTTAATCAAAGTCAGACAGTTTTTCAAGTATGTAACCGGAAAAAGTATGATATGGATTTATCTGTCTTGCTTCCATTTGTATGAAACGCCAAGAAAACTATGGTGACGTTTGTTTTTTAAGAGGTGTTGAAGTCTGATGATTTATAAGAGGTGATGCTGAAGTCTAAAATCTGAATCAGTCAAACTGTTTGTTTTTATGTCTGAAGTCTGAAATCTGAATCAATATAAACACGAACAAAGTCTCATAACGAATAGAACCAATATTCATTTTGCATTAATTGTGTCGTCATCATCCCCTTGCTCGTTGGTTTGATCATACTCAGAAAAATAACTCATATATAGGAGAAATTGATTTGTAGAGATCGTTTTGCAAAGATTGATTTGGATAGATTGGTAGCTTAGGACCGAGTGAGAGATCGATATGGTGTCCAGATCGTATGATTTGGTAGCTGAAGATCAAGCGAGAGAGCGATATGGTGTCCTCGTCCGCGAATAAGAGCCCATTATGAGTTTAGACTACCACTTAAAAATTCAAGAGAACTATAAGAGCTTTTCAACTCTTATTTAAAAAAAATCAAGCAGTCTGAAAATAAAAACGTATGACCGATTGACGTATTTTTTATAATTCATTGATCGAACATAGCAACGGGATATGAACTCCTATGAGTCGAATCACATACATAGACAACGTAGGGTGTAAACTGAGAACATCCAGAGGAAATATTGTTATGCTTCTACCATTAGCCAAAAAATGACGTAAATGCTCATTAATCTTTATGTTTCTACTTTTAGCCAAAAGATAGGGATATAAAATGAACGTATACAGAGCAGATATTGAATAAGAAACTGCATTTGTTGGTTTTTGGCATGTATAAAAAAGGGGTTGGTTAGATGGACGAATCGTGCCTTTGTATCTATATATGTACCTTGTAGACATTATCCTAAATGGATGTAAAAGACAAAACAGAAATGAAAATTTATGAGGTACCGTTGAAGACATGACACGACATCCAATGGTGGAACCTAGAATTTTGTCGAGCGAGTGCACTTGGTGGATCAAGTGCTGCAAAATCATCCGTATTCACTGTTTTTTGAAGGACGTTCTAAGTTTTTGGTTGACTTTTAGGGACTTTTTCTGGTCTTTTGATTATGTTTCTTGTATTTTTTTAATATACAGCGCACCCCTTAAAGTTTAAGGGGTGCATCTTTCCTACACCATAAAAAGTCTATTTACGAAAATAAGTTGAGTAGGTGTATGAGACCCACTTGGCATCTTTTTTTAAATGTATAAAATTGCCCATGGTTGTAACGTTGCAGTGTTACTGCCATAATAGGGCAAAATGCATAAAATAACAATCTACTTTCATAAATTTCTTTATTATAGCATTGTACTTTTAGTTTTTCTTATTACAGCAATGTACTTTCAAATTATTTTTTATTAGGACATTGTACTTTGAAAATTTTACCCATTATAGCATTGGGTAACCTTTTGATTTAAATTTACCCATTATACTAGGTTTCCATGCCACCTCATTGTCCACATAGGCTGTCCACATGTACTAATAGTGATGTGACTTTCTTACTACATCATTGTACTTTCAAAATTATTTTATTATAGCATCTACTAGTTCTTATTAAACACTGTATTTTTAATTTTAATATTTAGATATTTTACATGTTTTTTTTAATAAATGTATTAAATGAATTAAATAAATTATTGATTAATATACCAATATCAATAAAACTAGTTGAACACAACTTATCTCGCTAATATTTTTTTAAAAATATGTGTTTTTTGAAAAAAGGAAAATAAGAATTGTTCTTTTTTACCAAAAAATATTATCTTTACTTGACGAATATATTATATTTGTTTAAAAACTTTTTATTTGACGTATAAATATATTAAATTAATTAGATTTTTTTGAAGTATTTATTAATATAACAATATTAAAAAATTGTAGATAACAATTTATTTCGTTAATATTTTAAAGAGAACTTTAAAAGATATGTATTTATTTGAACAACATAAAATAGGAAAAGTTGTCTTTTTTACAAATAAAATATATCTCGAAAATAATGTTGCATATTTATTTAATAAATATTTTACTCTAAAAATATTTAATTTAAATGCAACTTAATAAAAAAAAAGTAAAAAAAAATAAATGTTTTTTTAGATAATAGCAATGAAAAATGAAAATCACTAATAATAATTTGAAATATGTTTTTATTTTAATTTTAGTTAAGTCATCAAAATGATGTGTCATCCACATCACCTCATTAATGCCATACAAGCAAAAAAATCAAAGCGTTAACCGGTTTAAAAGGTAACAGGTTACCCATTGCTATTATGGGTAAATTTTTTAAAGTACAATGCCTTAATAAAAAATAATTTGAAAGTACATTGCTGTAATAAAGAAAAACAAAAGTAAAATGCTATGATAAGAAATTTTGTAAAAGTAGATTGCTATTTCATGCATTTAACCCTACCATAATATATGTTGTGTGACCTTAAGCGGTAATGTCACGGTAATTGAAATTGATGGATGAGATATTTGTGAAAGGAAAATACAAATGTATGATTATACTACCAAAAAGAAAATTACAAAAACTTCAACTAAATCTTTTAATTAAATTCTAAATCACAATATAAAAAAAGAAATCAAGAAAATGAATCAGTGTAACATTAAAAACCAAACCATCTTTACGTCTTCGTAAAAATAGTTTATATCTAGTTTCTGTTGTTTTTATGGTGGCGCGTATCATCGTTTCGTTCCTCCGTCATGGTATAAAAATTAAATTATAGGATCGTGAAAAATGTCACTATATTAATTTGTTGTGTGTCACTGTATATATTTTGAAAACTATAATAAGAACGTAAGTTTCCCTTAGTGGAATTGGTTTGTAAGGGATTTTCTTCCATCTTAGACCCAATTTTGAATTCTCTTACTATCATTTTTTTAGATTTTAACTTTTAATTTTAGGTTTATTATATTTATGAAAAAAAAATTGTAATAAAAAACTTAAATACATGACCTAACACTATGAAAGACAATGAACTAATTAAACAAATAAATAATAATTTTTATATAAAAAAACAATGATAATTTTATAAAATATATCTCTATATTTATTTTTTATAATTAAATAATATCATCGCTTGAAAAAGAACTAAAACGTCGTTTACCTAAGCACTTATCTAGTAAGCACTTACCAGTAAAATTTAACACTATCGTTTACTTACCAGATAAGATTTAATTCACTAAAACGCATCTTATGCAACAATTTCTCCCGGTAAGCGCTAACCATGATAAGAGTCATCATCCTCACTTACCGGGTAAAACTCTCGATTCTTGCTTTCGTTCTTACCGAGTAAAATTTTTAGCCGTTGCCATATTCATTCAGTAAAATAAATTGACTTAATAAACGCTTACTTAGGTAAGCGTTTGGTAAACTACACCTAAAAACCGTCCCGCTTACAATCATTAAAATAAAAACATATTTTTTATATACCAAGTTATATCCAAGTATTTAGACTTATATTTCAACTTATTTGAGCTGTCGGTGATTAGGTTGGATAAGAAGACAAATGAAAGCCATGCATGCATGCTAGCCACGTGTCCAACAACATCCAAAACGTGTCAACTTCCAACTCATTTGAAACAGCATTAATTCTAAAAAACTCCAAAGACACTGCATTGCAGAAATGGTGTCCCCAAGAATATGCGTCTCCCTGCTTCTACATGCCTTCCTCTTCCTCATCATGGCCGCCGCCGGTAATCTCTCTCTCTCTCTCTCTATATATATATATATATTATTAATTATAATTACTTTTATACTAGTATTCAAAAGATTCTCTTAAAAAATAAAAGGTTATAGAAGATGCATTTACGTGTGGTACGTAATTTTATTTGCAGATGAAGAAGACAATCTTCTTCAAGGAATCAACAGTTTCCGGCAATCTCGAAACTTGATAGCATTGTCCAAGAACGACAATGCGGAATGTATGGCGGACGAAATTGCCGAAGCATTGGAAGACAAAGCTTGCACCACCATGGCAGGTCCCAGCACCACCACAAGCGCCACCCAACCCCGCTACGCAAACTATGCCGATGTCCTCAACAAATGCAACATCGATATCAACACCACCGCCGATGGTGTCATTTTGCCAGTTTGTGTGCCTAAGCGGGTCCCAACCCTTGTGCTTACAAACTATACTCAATCGTCGTATGCTACTTATCTCAATAATTCCAGGTATACTGGAGTTGGGATTGGTAAGGAACATGATTGGGTTGTGGTGGTGCTAACAACCGACGCTCCTAGCGGAACCTTTTCGAACGTGGCAGCACCAAGGCGTGGTTCGGTGGTTCATGTGAGCCAGGGTGTAGCGGTTTTGATGGCGGTTTGGTTTGGAACTTGGTAAGTGATGGGTTGTAGCTAGATCTGGGTGTAATTAAAGAGGTTTGTGTGTGCTTAGACTTTAACTTAAACTTGAAGAATATATGTGGAGGAACATGTGTTTTAGTACTTTGGCTTCTAATCGATAAGTAAAATTTAAACCAATACACAGAGTCGATCTCAAATACAAAATAGAACTCGTGTATAACTTAATGTGTCGAGCTTATAACACCTTTTCACAACTTGGCTCTTTCAAAAAGCTCGAGTAAAATTCTGGATTCTAGTTGAGCATAGACGGATCTAGAGGGGTGGTTAGGTGGCACGTGCCACCGTATTGTTCCACCGTGGTAACATAAAAAAAATTAGGTTCGTGAAAGATGCAACCGTTTTATTCTAGAAGGTGCAACCGTTTTATATGGTGTCACCGTATCCAAAAATTCTTGGGTTCGTTCCTGTAGTTGAGACATTCGATCATATATACAGTTATTCAAGCGAAACATGTTTATGTGTTCATAAATCATTTAGATTTTATTCAAATTAGGCCGTAGTCTTTGATCATTTTATTCAAATTAGGCCGTAGTCTTTGATCCAACTGGTACCACTAAATCTCTTACTGTTATGTTATATTTTCCCCCTTTTTGAAAACAAGCATTTGCATGCATATATGTCAAAGCTCGAAGAAGACCTCAAAATGGATCATTTTTTGCAAGTAGAATACCTGAAAATCATGAATCAGACGGTTTTGTCTTTGTCATCATCGTCGGAATCGTTGCCTAGATCGTCGAAAAACACATCGAGATACCATGGGCATTTCTCGTTCCAATCCCCCCTCATTGCATGGGCTCGCCATTTTTGGTCGGCGATCATTTCGGGCAATAGCCCCCATCCTTCCATCTCTTTGTCGGAATGGTAAACCGCAAGACTGTATTCACCACCGACCCCTAATTGCATTACGCGAAACTCGCAGTTGTTTAAATTGTTCAAGTGCTCAAACTGCTCGACTGTCCATTTGAACCACTTCATTAGGAACACACGCGAAGCTAATCCATGCGAAACGATTATAAGATTTAGTTCATTGGAGGGTTCGTGGTTAAGCCGGTTCATGTCTATATCACGCCATAAAGATTCCAGAAAACCTGCAGATTTTGATGAATGTTAAGAATCCAGAAGCCATTGATCTTACAGAAAATCTATACACTTATATATATACTGCACATGAAATCAATGGAGATTGCAAAAATGGTAAGATTAAACATGATCATTTCAGTAATTTGTTACAACGCAAGAGTATGATTCGATACACCTAAATGAAATCAATGGAGGGTGCAAAAATGGTGAATTAAACATGATCATTTCAGTAATATGTTACAACGTGTTAGGGCAAGAACATGATACGATACACCTATAAAATATGCATGAAATCAATGGAGATTTGCAAAAATGGTGGATCAAACACGATGATTTTAGCAATCTGTTACGATGAATTAGGTCAAAGACATGATTCGAGGCTAAAATGGTAAACTACAAGGATGTTGATCCCAAATTCAAAAATTAGATGGTCTGACTTGTGTTTGGAAGAACACTGATCAAATAGGTTTTCAGATTGCTTACTCGAAACACGATCATAGACGTCAGCAGCGGATTCACCCTCAGGAAATCGATAGAAGAATCTACCGAATCTGTCTCTAGTCTCCTTAATAACCTTCATCCTCTCGGTGATCTGAAAATTCCCAAAATCCTGCTCTCTGATTCTACATTCTTCTCTAATTCCGATCACAGTGGTCTTGGGAAACGATCTTCCGATCTCACGCAGACTGGATCGCGATCGTTCGTAAGGTGATACGTAAAAGTAAACCTTCCAATTATTGTTGGTACCTGAGTCGGAGATTATATGACGGATCCGAGTTCCGGCGTGCTTTGCCTGTGAAATTCCTTGTTGGGTGAGTGGGATCTTGTAATCAGGGGTGGTGGTGTAGGCGGAACCGTCGATGTTTCCTTCACTCTGGCCATGGCGGACCAAAATTATTCTCTTTGGAAGAAACATGATTTGGTCTGTTGCTCCCTGCTTCATCCTACGTTTTTGAATATAAAAAAATCAAATTGGAAATGGAAATGAAGGAATCAACGTTGCAAAAGAATGATATCATTCGTTTGTATCAAGTGCATGAGAATTAAGACGAGAAGCGTAAGAAATGTTCTGGACCATTTTTAAGAGGTGTTTGGGATTGCTATATCTTAAACAACTTATTCTTATTTTATAGAAGTATTTATCAACTTATTATAAGTTAGAATTGTTTAACTTATTCAAAAGCTCCTTATTACTGATTTGACACCAGTATAAGATATTTATCCAAACACTCAAAAGTGTTTATTACTGATGTCACACCGAAATAAGTCAATAATTTGTTTTTATAAACAATATCAAACACTCCTTTAATCTCAAACTCATCCATGAATTACTCTTGGTACGGGGATGATGTGCATTGAGATGATCCTAATATGCATCAAAGGTTGGAGATTCTTTCTTACGCTTCTCACCGGAACCCAACCCTGTATTCATAAATGTGTAAAATCTTGCGTTTTCTTAAAAAACTTATAGTTCCCACGTAAACCTAAACTCGCAAAACCAAATCAAAAGAAACTACTCTATTTCACTCACGTTAGTGACTTAGGGGCCGTTTACCAAATACTTACCCGGTAAGCGTTTATCGGTAAACTTAACACTATCATTTACTTATCGGATAAGATTTTAATCCACCAAAACGGTATCGTATGCAACAATTTACTCGGTAAGCACTTACCTTGGTAAGAGTCATCGCCCTCATTTACCGGGTGAGAACTCTTGTTCCTTGTCTCGCTCTTACCGGGTAAAATTCTTGATCCTTACCATATTCATCCGGTAAGGTAATATGACTTGATGTTCACTTACCCGAGTAAGCGTTTGGTAAACGACCCCTTAGTTCTTTAGTTTTTTGTAAGAGTTTTCACTAGTAAACTAGTTTATCATTTATATATCAACCTTCAAGTATTAACTCGTCAATACAAACCAACGTGCAAAGGTTCAACTCGGTTGGATTTCTTGACACGTTGTGTTGAGATTTTTCTCAACAAATATAATCGGGTTGGGCTGTTTGAATGATGAAACCTTCCCAACCCGTACGCATATCAAAGACTACTATTTTAATGGTATTTTTATAATCGAAATGAAGATTGAATATAATGAAATGGAATGCGGAAGATATGGATTTATTAAAATCGGGGATAAATTTGAGATTAGAACAAGTGATTACATTTCATGGTTGGATTTTCTAGTTTAAATTACAAATTATATATACTATATTATAAAGCATTTGACAAAAACTCTTAAAAACCATTTTTTATGTGTAAAGTACTGTTTATTAATGCATATTACTTAAAACTTAAGATTGCAAGTAGATTGTGCGTAAGTACAACTTATTAAAGCTCCATATCTGAATTCGTGTAACTAACTGCAGATAAACATAATCAAATACAGGATAAACATCTCATTTTAAATATAAAAAATCTAAAATATAATTAAGATAATCATTGAGTTATAACAGAATACTTAATTATTATCTTTATAAAATTTATAATATTAAACCAGAAATAAATTATTTCATTATTAAACTTAAATTAAATTATAATAAAAAAAATAAATTAAATAAAAAATGAAAACTTTTAAATAATTGATTTGATGTTAACATTGATATATATATTTTTTCAAAATTTTATGATATATTCACATTTATATTTTGTTCAAAATAAAATCATTATTGAATTCTTAAAAACACATAAAATCGTATTATAACATCACCAGAGACAAATAATAAAATAAAAACATTAAAATCAAGATGTGTCTCGCTGCATTACGCAAGTACTCTTCTAGTTCTATAAAACAAATATTTTGACTTTTTAATTTGATACTCATATAGATACTATTGAGATTCTAATACCACGATGGTCTCAAAAACAAAATAAAGTAATGAACTTTATTCAACGATAATCAAGTATGTGATTTCAACTAGCAACTAATGCGGAAAACGGAATATGATCGCAAGCACAACGAACAATCAACCAAAGAATTTCGATCACACACAAAACACAGAGAAGATTTACGTGGTTCCACCACCGGTATGGTGATGTACGTCCACAGGGAGGAGGACGAACTTTAATTGATGAAGAGTACCCAAACACCAAAGATAAATTACAAACTGACACACTAAATTCTGTATAATCTCTCTCAATATCTTCTCAACTAGATATAGGGCTTCTAAGCTCTCAATTTCGTTCTCTACCTGATGGAAGGTGCACCTATGTCAGAGCACCAAAAAAAATATGTTTTGCAAAGTAAAATCATGCACATCCGTCCTTGAACATAAGGTATGGTCATGTTAGAACCACCAAACCTTTCTGTTTTGCAAGGTTATATTACACATGCCCGTGCGTGAATATAAGGTTCGGTAGTGCAAGAAACTCTAGAACTTTCTCTTTTGCATTCCTTTGTTTTGTATCACAATTTTCAACACTCCACGTTGATACAAAACATTTATCTTTGTTGATCCTCTCTCTTAGTGATTTGATGATAAACCTTTTTATCTTATGAAAAGTACTCTCTTTATTCAGTTTCAACAATCATCACTGAGTCTGTTTAGTGATCACTGAATAAATATTGTCTTTTTCAAAGACAATATTCTTCAAGAAGACAAAACTCATACCTCAAGAGCCTTCGGTGATATCGAAGATAAAGCTGAAGTTCGTGATCTGATGCGGTGTCAATGATAACAAGTCCGTCTACACATGTGTGAAATCTACTCAAGATACAACATACACTGAAGAAACCCTAGTGTTATTCCAGTGTCAGCGATCAAATTAATATTGTTGACCAAAATTAGTTTTTTGTCTTATCCTCTTACACATAAAGGATAAACTCATACATCTCAAAGTAAAGCATTTGTACATAGTCACTCTATTGTCTCCAAACTTGTTTACCTAATTTGTGAAAGACTTCTGTTCATATACGGCAAAAGTCTGTATATCTGAAGACAAAGAACAAACTCACCTCTAGAAGCTTGCTACGTGCCTTGTATTGTCTGACTTGCATTTAACGCAATGTGTATAAACAGCTGAGAAGCTCCTCCTTCTCAGCAACCATCCAAGCCAAGAAACTTACTTCTTGAAGACCAACTTTCTACCCAAAAGAAGACTTCCTTACAAGCACAGACTTCTTAATCTTTCGAAATTATCTTTACTTTAAGTGAAGAACCCCAACTAAAAAAAAATAAAAAAATAAAGATTTTGAAAATTTTAGGTTATTTTTTTATTTTGATATACTATAAATTTAAAAAAAATGAGAGATATGGTAAAAAAAAAAAAATCATATTTGAAAAAGCTCTGGAAAATTATTGCTTAATCCTTATACTTAATTGTTTAAAAGAAAAAGATTCAATTTTTTTTATGAATAGTTTAATTCTATGAATTGTTTTTACATTTTTGAATTTTTATATTAAAAAAATTAAATGTAAATTTGGTCTCTATGTTTTTTTTGAAATTAACGGATAAGGTTTTCGAATTAAACTTTTAACATATAGCATTTATCTAGTTTCATTTTTACTAGAAGGATATTCATGTAATGCATCCAGACACATCTTGATTTCGGTATTTTGTTTTTTCGTTTTTTTATGTTGATATAATACGGTTTGATGTGGTTTTGAGAACGCGATAATATTTTTATTTTTTGAATAAAATATAAATTTAAAAATATCATAAATTTTGAAAAAAAAAATATCGATATAAGTATCAAATTAACCTTTTTAAAAATTCTTGTTTTTGGTGTAATTCCCTTAATTCAAAATTTTTTATTATAATCTAATTTAGGTTTAGTATCGAAGTAATTTAATTTAGGTTTAATAATATAATTTTTTATAAAGATAATAACTAAGTATTTTGTTAGAGGTCAAAGATTATCCTAATTATATTTTAAATTTTTTTATATATAAAATGAGATGTTTATCCAATATTTGATTATGTTTATCCACAGTTAGTTATACGAATTCAAATATGAATATTTAATAAGTTGTACTTATGCACAATTTACTTGTAATCTTAAATTTCAAGTAATATGCATCAATAAACAGTACTTCGTGCATAAAAAATGGTTTTTAAGATTTTTTGTCAAATGTTTTATAATATAACTAGAAGGGTATTCACGCAATGCAGCGAGATACATCTCGACTTTAATATTTCATTTTATTCTTTATTTCAGTCGATGTTATAATATGTTCTTATGTGATTTTAAAAAAGCGATGATGTTTTTTTATTTTTGAATAAAATATAAAATTAAAGATTTCATAAAATTTTGACAAAAATATATCGATATTAATATCAAATTAACTATTTAAAATTCATATTTTTTGGTAATTTGTTAATGTAATTTTTTTATTATAATTTTAATTTAGGTTCAATAACGAAGTAATTTATATTTGATTTAATAATATAATTTTTTTATAAAGATAATAATTAATTATTTTGTTAGAACTCGATAATTATTCTAATTATATTTTAGATTTTTTTATATTTTAAAATGAGATGTTTATCCGCAGTTAGTTACATGAATTCAAACATGAAGCTTTAATAAGTTGTACTTATGCACAATTTACTTGTAATCTTAAATTTCAAGTAATATGTATTAATAAACAGTACTTCGTGCATAAAAAATGATTTTTAAAAGTTTTTGTCAAATACTTTATAATATAGTATAGATAATGGATTGAGAGGCACTTAGGTTTTTCAATTAAAAGAGTCTTTTTACGCTTTGTTTCTTTTAGTATCTTTTTCATTTAAAAGGGAAAAAACGAAATCAAAACCATAAAAAACAAAAATGCAAAATAGAATCAAAATCAAAACCTTAACCTTCAAAACACCCATAAACCAAAACCCGTTTCTTGATAGTTCTGCAATCTCTTTTCATGTTTCAGATAAATCTTTGTGAGATCTCAAATTAAAAACATACGATGTAATTTTAACTATGGTTTTTTCGTCCTCCCAACTCGATATCGCAACATATCATTAAGCATTTGAGATTTCACGAATCAAAAAGCATAACATTTGGGTTCTGTCCCCCCATATCAAACAAGCTACAGAGGCATAGCGGAGAAGATGGATAAACGTTTACTTACCCGAGTAAACGTTTGGTAAACGGCCTCTAACTCTAGGTCTAATTTCAAAACCTAAATCTAAATAAGAAAAATAGATGCTTTTACAAAAACCCTAAGGGTGCGTTTGGTTTGCAGGAATGAAATGGATTTGGGGGGATTTGGATTTTAAATCCATTCCAATCCTATGTTTGGTTTGCCAAACTGAAGGGATTTGAAATCCAGGGATTTGATTAAAATCCAGTGTATGCGGGGCTTGGAAATCCTTTGCAAAGGGGCGGGATTTCAAATCCAATCCTTTCCTTCCCATCGCTTCCTGTCGATTATTGCGTCTCCCTTCCTTTCTCCCGCTTCCTTCACCCATATTCCCTCCCATCGCTTCCTTTCCATCGCCGGTGCTCCCTTCCCGTCCCTTGCGAAGCTGTGCCCTAAGGTCGTCTTGCCGGTGCTTCCTTCATGTCCCTTGCGAAGCTGTGCCCTAAGGTCGTCTCGTCGGTGCTCCCTTCCCGTCCCTTGCGAAACTGTGCCCTAAGGTCGTCTCACCGGTGCTCCCTTCCTTTTCCCCTCGCGAAGCTGCGCCCTGAACCGCCTTGAGCCAAAACGCCTTTCCTGTTCCCCGCCTTCTCGCATCACTCTCAGCAGGTAAATCATACAACACCTTTTGTAGATGCTTAAATCTGAATAGGTATGAACAGAGTAGTCCTCCTTGTTTGATGAAAACTTTTCTCAAGTATATAGYTTTTGTTTAAGTGTGCTHTGTACATATGATGGTTTCATCGTCATTGCTATATGCTTGCTTAAACTGATTCTTCAGATGCATGATCATAGGAATTTTGCTATTTCTAGTCAACTTCTATATGCAGTTTTATGATTCTTCAAGATATATAGTTGAAGTTCATGGTATACACTATGGTCATATTATGTCCAAATCCTGCAAACCAAACAAATGAATGGATTTTAAATCCAATCCAATCCAAATCCCATGGAATCCAAATCCCTCAAAAACATTCTTACAAACCAAACGCACCCTAAGGGTTTTTGTAAAAGCATCTATTTTTCTTATTTAGATTTAGGTTTTGAAATTAGACCTAAAGTTAGAGGCCGTTTACCAAACGTTTACTCGGGTAAGTAAACACTAAGTCATATTACCTTACCGGATGAATATGGTAAGGATCAATAATCTTACCCGGTAAGAGCGAGACAAGGACCAAGAGTCTTATCCGGTAAGTGAGGGCGACGACTCTTACCATGGTAAGAGCTTACTGGGTAAATTGTTGCACATGATACCGTTTTGGTGGATTAAAATCTTACTCAGTAAGTAAATAATAATGTTAAACTTTACCGATAAACGTTTACCGGATAAATATTTAGGTGGCGTTTGTTTTTTAAGAGGTGCTTAAGTCTGAAGTCTGAATTCACTTTTGAATTTTAAGAGGTGGTGCTGAAGTCTGAAATCTGAATCAGTCAGACTGTTTGTTTTTACGTCTGAAATCTGAAATCTGAAATCTGAATCATTGAAATCTAGGCTTTCTTTGCAAGCATTGGAAGCTCTAAAAGCAATTAAGAGGTTTTAAGTGAAAATGTTACCTCTAAATAATTCAGACATAATCAAAGTTTTTAAGCTCCTAATTGGAAAAAAAAAAAAAAACACACACTTAATACCCTAAGATCTGACCGATTCAGACATAAAAGGGTATTAAGTGCTTTTTAGGTAAAAACAAACAGGGCCTTAGTAAATGACCCCTTAATATTTTTAAGAATAAAATTAATCTCAAATTCTTAGATTTTTTATTTTGGTTTTTGAATAAGTTTGCACACCTTTTGTTTATATTTTTCAAGTTCTTGTTTATGTCGTTAAATTCTTCAATAATTTTATTGTATTTTGAGTTAGGATTTTTTTAATTTTCTGTTTGGATTTGTACTTTTTGTATTTATTATGTAACCGAAGAAAAATAAAAGAGATAACAATATAAAAATGATTAAAAAATTAAATAAAAATACCCTTCGCGTGAGGTTACTTAACGATCAAATATAACGACCGTTAGCAGAAGGAACCTAACCGTTAATTTGAGAAAAGCATAGGGACCAAACTGAAGAATTTTTAGTGCGTTGTTGGTGATGCTCTTATTTGCGAGCTCCAAAGAGTTCTATTTGCGCCCAAATCAGCTTCAACCGATAAAAAGTTCGATTACCTCTTCACCGCTATCTCTCCCGTCGACGACTCTTTCCTTCCCCGGAGCTTCGAACAAAGCCAAACCCCTCTTTTTAATTCCTTCGGTGATGCCCTAGTTGAAGATCTTCCGCTGCACTGCATTAGGGTTCTTCAGTTAACCTACTACTTACCCACCAACTCAATTTCAAGCCCTTGTCCTTCCCTTAAACACGGAAGCTTCCCCTCCTGCATCTACATCTTCGATGCAGGCTGAAAACTCATTTCATATCAGCTAATTGACACGCACGCCATGAATGCCCCAATTATAGGTATAATTATTCGTTTTCTTTTCTCTTCTGACGTAAGTTTGTGTGTATTTTATTGATCAATTCTTGTATTTATGTTTGTTGTTGGGGTGAAGATCCGTTGCAGGGGGATTTTCCAGAAGTGATAGAAGAGTATTTGGAACATGGTATCATGAAATGCATTTCTTTTAATCGTCGTGGCACTCTTCTTGCTGGTAATCATCCACATTCGTTCTTTTTTTTACTCCATAGATACCCGAGTATTTTGGACTTTTAGGTGAACGTCTCAAATACTCTTAATTTACAAAAATTAATAGAGTTCTGTGCACCAAAGTCAATACTACCAATAACTTATGGTGATAATAACCGGCTAATAGGTCATGAAGTTTGCTCAAATGTTGTAAGATGGAACCTTTTATGGTGTTATTTGAATAAAGGGTATGTGTGATAACTTCTCTATGAATTGCGGATGTAGTCCCTGCAAAACTTGTAGTACATTTTTCGATTGTACCTCCATTACCCTCATACATGCCAAAGTGCAATGCTGTATTCACAACTAGCAGAGAGTCATAAAATTTACACAAAGCTGTTATCTTTGTGTTTTTCTATCTAAGTATCGAATAATTATAAAGGCAGGCAGTTATACACTTGGGCCTTTTATGCTCTTTTATATAAATTTGTGATTTCAGTACTTCACATTTTTTATTCTTTAATTGTTTTATTCACAAAATAGTTGTTCAGGTTATAAAACTTTGGTGGGCTTTATGTATCATGTAACCTTTTAATTTCTACCTTCTAGACTTGTTAGATTATGATGATGTTTAAACAAGTGACGGAAGTGCATCTTGATTGTGTGAAAGAAGTGATTGCCATGCGCTTATGATTTTGGTCTGCGATCTATTCTGTGTTTCTGATTTATAGGCCTATATATATTATATCATAGTCCAACTCCAGAAGCTTGTGTCTTTACAAGTCAGTCATATATACATTACTAGAGTAATATGAGATCATAACAGTGGACACTGGTGAGGTTAAATGGCCTCCATAATTAGGTCATATTCATTTTTCATTTTGTGGTTCCCATTTATATGGTGCAAGAGGAAACGATATGTGATTAAACGTCCCATTTATTTGCTTTGATGAGAAATGAAGATGAAACCCACAAAGTTGTGTACTTGTGTAGGTATGTTGTCCAAAGCTATTCCAATGTGTTATGATTAATCTGCAAGTAGTGTAAATTGGTAAGCCTAATCCAGATTTCATTAGCATCAGTTTCTTTCAGGGGTCTTCTTAAGATTGTAGGCTCAAACACATGTTGGATGTCAACATTTCATGAGTTTAGGTTTCTATGTTGTGGGTATCTAACTTTATGTTTCTGCTATAGTCAGTAACTAATGTTGGAGAAGCAGTCAGAGCTTTTGTTCTAATGCCTTCAACTTACTTAGTAGGGCCTGCCTTCATTAAGAAACTAAGCTCGTGTTTGACAACTATGATCTCTGTTATACTTGAATTCCAACTACTGTTTCATGAGTTTGCATGCATTTGTAATTGAGTCTCTTTTGACTCGGTTTGTTTTCTCTCCAGTCTCAGAAATTTGCTTAGTTGGTCTGATTCATCAAAATCTCTTGTATCTTTTTCTAGTAAAAAGAGGAGTCTCCATCATTGCCTTTCTATTTTCAGACATGTCTGTGTTGTCCCTTTGCTACCATTTGAGCAGTTTTCATACAAATTCAGTTATTTTATCATTATCACTTACATCTTTCATCCTACCTGTTTGCTCACATACTTGCACAAGCCAGGGGTCTTCACAGAAACAGCCGCTCTGGCTCTTTTCGGTAGAGGTTTAGTCTGCGTACATTTCACTCCCGAGACCCTATTTTTAAGTGGGATTTACTGGGTCAGTTTGATTTACTTTTTTTAAGATAAGAAACATAGCAGAGAATCATGACCTGCCAATTGGTCTTCTTTGAAGCAATGCAATTCATTGTTCTTCAAATGGCATTTTCTGCAATGTCAATTATTTTCTTTACTTATTATTACTCCCTTCTCCCAAGAAAAGGGCCCACTTTAAAATCACAAACAAAATCTTTTTAGACAAATCTAGACTTGATTAATAATATAATGACCAAATCTACCTCATAGTTAAATTTTGTATTACTTTTTGGGGACAAAGAGAACTGTGAAGCGGACTCTCCTTTTCTTAGACGGAGGGAGCACTATTTATCTTTTCTTGATGTGTTCAAAAGTTGAATTGCTTGTTGATTTTGGGAAATAATGCTACTTCTTTGTGACTGAAAAGTCATGGGTTTGAGTCAGATGCAGTCCCTTTGCAATATGCAATGGAAAAACTGCATAAAGGTGGCAAAAGTTTGGAGCCTTGATGCACTTGGTCCTGCAGGGAAAAGCCCAAATAAGTATATTTAGAGTTTAAGAAATAAGTATTACGAAATATCAAACAGAAATGACTCTCTTAATATGTTAGGGGATTTGTCAATTATCCATTAGACTTGCTAAAGATACAATATAACACACCAAATATTCAACTTGATGATATAAATCCATCAATAGACTATATTGAATGATGCTAATGTGATATTTCGTAATTTATTCGTTATTTGAGCTTTTGCTTGTTATTTAACTTAACAAGATACAAACTGAATTCTTGAACCCTTATACGGTTTGCCTATAAGGTATTGATGCATCAAGTGTTTATCATACATTCTATATTCTCTCTCTCAGATTACATTATATTAATACTACATGTTTTTTGCATTTTGTACCTATTTTGCTCTTTTTGTCAGCTGGGTGTTCCGATGGAAGCTGTGTTGTCTGGGACTTTGAGACCAGAGGAATTGCAAAAGAACTCAGGGATAAGGACTGTGTTGCTGCCATAACTAGCGTTTGCTGGTCAAAAAACGGTCATCAAATACTTGTTTCAGCTGCCGATAAGTCATTGTGTCTATGGGACGTTGTGAAGGGAGAGAAGATCTTCCGAACAACAGTGCATCAAACCCCGTTACAAGCTCGTTTACATCCGGGTGGTGGCTCTTCAGAATCAACTCTTTGTCTAGTTTGTCCTTTCTCGTCTGCGCCCATGATCGTTGATTTGCGCAACGAAACCACAACTATGCTCCCAATATCATTGTCTGACAAAGGCAGTGGACTCGCCCCTCCATCACGCAACAAATTTTCAGATGGAGCGGCCCATTTTACACCAACAGCAGCCTGCTTCAATAAGTATGGGGATCTGGTTTATGTGGGGAATTCGGTAGGGGAAATTCTTATAATCAATCACAAAGACAATCGGGTTCGTGGTGTTGTCCCAATTTCCGGCAATGCAGTGATAAAGACTATAGTATTCAGTAGAGATGGGCGCTACCTTCTTACAAACTCAAGTGACCGTACAATAAGGATATATGACAATCTTTTGCCCTTGAAAGATTCACTCAAAGCTCTTGATGAAATACATGAGCCCACAAATGAGGTTGAAACGTTAAAGGCAGTCGGTTTGAAATGTTTGTCGCTCTTTCGGGAGTTTCAAGATTCCATCACCAGAGTTCACTGGAAAGCACCGTGTTTTAGTGGCGATGGTGAGTGGGTCGTTGGCGGTTCTGCTAGTAAAGGCGAGCACAAAATATACATTTGGGATAGGGCTGGGCATCTTGTGAAAATTCTTGAAGGTCCAAAGGAAGCATTGATGGATTTGGCGTGGCACCCTGTTCACCCAATAGTTGTTTCTGTGTCATTGGCCGGTTTAGTTTACATTTGGGCCAAAGATTACACCGAGAATTGGAGTGCATTTGCACCGGATTTTAAGGAACTTGAGGAAAACGAGGAGTATGTGGAACGAGAAGATGAGTTTGATTTGATGCCCGAAAGTGAAAAGGTGAAATAGATAGCCGAATTTGTAAATGGAACTTTCTTGATTTGATTTCTTGTAATTACAAGATGAAATCTTGCAGGTGAAAGAATCGGAAACAAATGAAGATGATGAAGTTGATATTATAACCGTGGAGAAGGATTCAGCATTTAGCGATTCAGATATCTCGCAGGATGAACTATGCTTCTTGCCTGCAGATCCGTGTCCTGATGTTCCCGAGCAGGATAAACACGCTGGAAGTACTTCAAAACTAGGTGATAGCAAGAACTCTGATTCCCCACTTTCAGAAGAGACGGCAGTCGATGGCCGGGCAATGAACCATGATTCCAATCAAATCGAAGGTAATTTATGCTCTATTCTTGCACTTCAATTTCACAGATTAAGATTTTCAAGGAGTAAATAGTTGCTTTGTTAGTTGTCTGTGTAGACTTTTTCTAAACCAAACCAGGAGTAGAACAACTGTTTCGGAGAAGACTACCGACTAATGAGAAGTGCGTAAAAGTGAGAGATAAAAAAACAGATAAGCCAAGATTTGAAAACCTAGATATGAGTATACTTTTTCTGGGTTAGAAATTTCCATCGATTTCAGGATGTTGGAGCACTTCTTTTTGTACCCTGTTTACTTCGAAGGAAAAGTGTTCCTATGTAATGGGACGGAGGGAGCTAACCCTAAAGTCATCAATTACTCCATCTGTCCAATGGAAATTGCAACATTTGATTGGGCTCGGTATTTCGTAAGTGTTTGGTATGCGGACGGAACTGGATTGGAAAGTCCCAACATGGAGAGTGAGGTTGGCACAAAATTTATTTTGGAAGGTTTTAAGGTTTTAATTTGATATGGTAGTTTAGTAATCTATCAGTCTTGCCCCATCCTTTTTTGGAAGGGTCTCCGACCTGGACTAATCCCGGCAAATTGTGATTGCAAGAAATCAGTCTGAAAAACTCAGTGGCCACAATTTTTGTGTACGCCGGGAATCAGATCTTGCTGGATTGTGCTCTACCTATATTGGTTAGACGGAAAAAAATGCATTTTTATCCCACTCGGGTCTTGTCCTATTCCAGTCTAACGTTGTGCCAAACATGTAACAAGTTTTTATATTGTCCCGTCCTATCCCGCGTACGAAACGTCCTAAACAATGTCAAATCAAAGAATCTTGTGGACCATGATAAATGACACTAATATAGTATAATAGACTAATAGTAATAGTAAACCAGACTAAACGAACCCAATATATCTACCCAAAAACCAAGTATAAAAGTTATACCTGTAACCGTTTGAACTGGTCAGACCTGTGGTTTGCTCTTTAGTGGTCATCAGTTCAGGGCCCTAGACGAGGTGCACGCAAATTGACCCAGACATCCATAATTATAAGAAAAAAATTAAGTCGTAGTTGTAAAAATGAATTGTTTTTGCAATTTATGAATATATTTGATTGCAGGACTGGAGAATTCTGGTGCTGAAGATACGGCAGGGGTGACGCACTTGAAAAGAAGGCGAAAGCCGTCCGAGAAGGTGTTGGAACTGCAGCAGGCACAGAAGGTTAGGAAACCGTTACAGAAAGCGAAAGCCGCAGCTTCTTCAGGTAAATCTTCAAAAACCAAAACTAAATTTGGGATTGAACAAGAACATGATATGAATCATTTTGCAGATGAGAATGGGATTGATGATTAGCTGACCCTTATTGTACTAGTTTAAAGATTGAAAGTATTTATTGACATTTAAAGTTTTTCTCCAGAAAGTTCTTATCTTGCTTTAAAAAATCCGGAAGAAGTGCATGAATCCTCCATTATTAGAGGTGGGAATGAGGGCCTGGATCCGGTTATAATCGGATTGGTCTTTGTTAGATGCGATTCTTTTTCAATGACCGGTTATTAAAGAGGTAATCGGTTAAGACGAGTTATATTAGAAGTGCCGCATGGTGCGCACCTGCACTGGTTAAAGCGGGCTGGGCCTCGAGGACCTGTTATACCTGTCAATATCAATTAAATATCTGGGTTAAAGACCGGTTATGGGGTTACATGGTGGCAAGTCGATACCTTAAAGGTCTGATTTACCGTCAAGGGCATGGTTCTAAATAACTCGTTATGGCGTTAAGGTTGCGGTTTGCTACCACGTTAACCCCTACGACTCCATTCTAAGGCTTGGCTTGCATTGTAACACGTTATGGCATGTTACGTTGCATTATTTTGTAAGGTGTGCGGTTACTTTAATTTATAACTTGAGGGACAGATGATAATCATAGTAATCATTCTTCCCCGTAGAAGGAATAGAGAGTTTTAATTTTATTCTATAAGAGGCATAGTAAGGAACAAGAATTTTACCCGCTAAGTGATGGAAAAGACTCTTTATCCGGTAAACGCTTACTGGGTAAAAGACGTTTACCACAATCCGTTTTGATGATCGAGAATATTACTAGGGGACATTTGTGAAACTTACCTGGATAAATGTTTAATGGCAAAATTCAACACTATCACTTATTGAGTAAGATTTTAGTCCACCAAAATGGTATCATATGCAACAATTTACCCGGTAAAGCGCTAACAGTGAGTCGTCTCCCTCACAGTGTAAGACTTTTTAGTTCTTGGCTCGCTTTTACCGCGTAAAATTGTTGATCTTTACCAGGTAATGTGACTTGGTAAGTAGCCCCTTAAATAAGCGGGTGTGTCCTTTCCCTGGTAAACAACCCCTTAGTTCGATTTATGTCAAACTGTTCAATGGGTCTGTCTCACTCTAAATCTTGTTTGATAACGTTTTTGTGCTCTTTTAATAGTTTTAGTTTTTAATGACATGTAAACCGGATAAAAAATTTGTTTACTGAGATTTCTGGTCTCCTTTTCGTTTATGTTCTTAAAAACACATAAACCAAACATAGAAACAATATATAGCTACGATCCGTGTTTTTTTTTTAATGTGTGTGAAGAAAACGAAGATATATTAATGGTCTTCTCAAGGAGGAAGTGTCGTTCATATAATGTGAAAGAAAAGGAGGAAATTTGAAATAACTGAGAGCATTAGTCATCTATTTGCTTATTGATTTTGAAAATATCAAAATTGATTTACAGATAGGAAAGTCGGTTATAAATTATAAATCTGGTTTTGAACCTGTTCTTTATTCATTATTATTACAAAATTTACAGTTTATATTAATCAAAATAGGTTTAACATAGAAAATATTAATCGAATTTACAAGTAAGATTATCAAGTCGATATCAAATTAAATGATCGAATTTAATTTCGAAGAAGTAATTAGTAAAAAATGATACGAGACAAGGTTTTTACAAAATCTCCTGTAATTCAATCCCCATCAAAAGATCATGGTAGAGATGGACAAAAAACAGTTATGACTTTTTCTGACGTAAATCGATCCTGACCCGAAATGTGTAATTGATAGGGACCAACATAACCATTTTGTTGAATGATGGGCTAAGAACAAAATGATGCCTTTCAAGAAAACTTTGGTCAGTCTCCAACTGATTATTTAAAAAAGGAAATCGTATCTGATAAAGCCTAAACGGTTATGACTGGTCCCAGTTTATATCGAAGCCTTCATGGATCGGTCCATCCAAAAGAGGCCAATTTTTGACACCATACTGGCTTAGTGAGGTCTTAATAACATAGGAACTAAGAATATTTTTTATGCTTATTTGGCAACTGGACTCGATTCGAGAGGATGTTAGACCCTTGTTAGGTAAATCGATTCAATACATACAACTAACTGAAAAACAAATTATCATCACCGACTCATTGGGCGGTGATTGTTTAACTCACTCATGGCACCAGATCAAACCAATGGTCCTTGTCGAGTAAATTAATGGTGCTTGTAAGCCAGGTTCGTTTATTTTCCTACTCATCTCTGTCACATGATCAAATACAAGATATGCATAATAAACGTTAGCGAAAAAGCAACTAATAGACAATATCTAGCCTCTTGAGTTACAAAACAACAAGAAGGTTTCAATCATAAACTAGACAAACCATGAAGCCCATAAATCAAACCAAAAAACTCCAATGGAGTAGGTTCCAGCTAGGGAAGAATGTACACAAACTTTACCTGTATATCGAAGATTACAGAGGTGTTTCAGCGAAGACCCCTTATGTTTAGATCACCTAAATCAAAATCATACGTTCCAAGGTGCAAATACTAAAAAACACATTTCTCCCTCTTCAACATTTATTTTTGGAGAGTTCTCCAAATTTGGAGATTTTTATCTTCTCTTTCCTACTTTCTGTTGATCATATTTCTCAGTAATTTGATGATTATCTCTTTTATCTATCAAAGTGTATTATCTATGTATTCAGCTTCAACGATCATTACTGAGTCCGTTCAGTGATCACTGAACATGTATTGTAATTCGTTCAGAAACCAATATCGTTCAGGAAGACAACGCATCACAGATCCTTCAGCGATATCGAAGATAAAAGCTGAAGATAGAGACCAGCAAGTTTGTGATCTGAAGCGGTTTTTATTGATAACAAGTTCGTCTACACAAGTGTGAAATCTACGCAAGATTCAGCGAACACTAAAGAGACCTCCAACGTCATTCCAGTATCAGTGATCAAATGAATCTTGTTGAACAAGATAGTTTTTGTCTTGTCCTTTCGCACAGAAAGAACAAACCGATACCTTTCAAAGTAAAATACAATACGGAATCGCTCTATTGTCTCCAAACATGCTTACCTACTTTACGAAAGAAGATTGTTCATATACGACCGAAACATTGTATATCTGCAACAAATGACAAGCTTGCCAAATGCTTTGTACTTTCTGAATTTCATTTAATACAATGAATATAAATAGTTGAGTAGTTATCTTTTCTCAATTATCTCTCTAACCTAATCCAAGCATTCTGGCCTTGAAGATCTTACCCAAAAGGATACTCTTCCCTCTATCTCTCTATCTAAGAGAAAAACTAAGTTGTAACAAGTGAAGATCAAAATACTTTTAACCTATTTATTGTAGCAAGTCGTTTCTTCCTGCTATCTGTAATTTATATGTTTTTTTGATTGTTTAGATAAGTTTTATATCTTATCTCTTCCACAAACAATCTGTAAAAATTTACATTGATCTTCTTTATCAATATAAGTTTTTTAAAAATGAAAGTTGATGTGTTTGTATTCGTTCCTTCCTGTCCACAAATTATTACCTATAAACGCTTGTAGATGAAACCAAAACTTTCTCTATTTCACAAAGTTGTGAATAATCTATGAGAGGAAAAACATAGGTTAAAAGCTCCAAAATGTCCATTTTCTCCATTGTTGATGATTACACTCATAATTTCTAGAACTTGATTGTCAAGGACCCTCCTCTCCTCTCCTCACCAACAACAAGATCTTCGGTATGTCTCGCGTGTTACCACAAAACCCTATGCTACAAAGAGCTTAGAGAAACATGGACTTTATGGTACAAAGTCCTACTAGAATATTTTAGCAAACACTTGACATCCCATGCTTTTGTATGTCAAACCATTCTACAAGTTATTGTACTAATAGTTAACCTTTTCATCAAATCAATGCTCTAAGATAATCCAAATACTAGACCTTTGGGTTGAATGGGTTCACATGTGTGGATATATCAAAGTTCCCACATCATGTGTGGATATATCGAAGTTCCCACATCATGATGAAAGTAGTAAGGGACCATTTATCAAATGACTACTCGGATAAATGTTTACCAACAAAATTCAATACTATCACTTACTTATTAAGCAAGAATTTAGTCCACCAAGACAGAATTGTATACAACAATTTACCTAACTGAATCACTTGAATCATCACCCTCTCTTACCGGATAAGATTCTTTGGTTCTTCCATATTCATCCGGTAAGATAGCATGACTTGGTAATCATTTACCCATATAAGCATCTGATAAACAGCTCCTAAAATTCACATATCTTGAAAAAATATGATCATAGATCCAACAACAACTAAAGCAACGCAATTAAAATCGACAAAGCCAATATTGATTATACTGTCAAAATGTGGCAAGATGGAGCAGAGCCACCATAACAATTCAGATTGCAAAGAAAAACACCCAAAATAATATTTCTACAAACTTGTTTGCATTGAGTTCCCTATATTAGCTTGCGCACTAGATAGAAGGCAAGTGTTGGGTAGATCAAGTCTACCAAGATTGGTTCTAGAACTCTTGGGATGCAGAACCAATCTCGCCTTTATCCTTACCAACCTTCTTTGGTAGCAGGGTCTGATTAATGTTTGGTAAGACACCACCATTTGCAATTGTCACCGAGCCTAACAACCTGCTAAGCTCTTCATCATTCCTCACTGCCAATTGTATGTGCCTTGGAATTATCCTGGTCTTCTTGTTATCCCTTGCAGCATTCCCTGCCAACTCCAAAACCTAAATCCAGAAATCAAAAAGACTTGTTTATGTACAGTTAAGAACAACTAAATCAGTAGAATGCATATAATCATTTGGAACTGAATAAATAACTTTAACCAAATCAAATACAGATTTGAAATTGAAGACTTATACATCACCCTAATATTTGAAGAAAAAGGTAAACATCTGTTTAGGTTAAAGCCTAACTGGATCACTTGAATCAGAAATGCTGAGCACAACTAATCATTACAATTGAATCAAAATTGCATTTCAATCCAAAACAGAATCGAAATACATACAGTTTAGAACAAAAAGAAAATACAACCATAAATCCAAAAACAGTAAATAAGAATAACGGAAAACGAAATTCGCGACAAGAAATTACCTCAGCGGCGAGGTATTCAAGAACGGCGGACAGGTAAACCGGCGCTCCGGCACCTACACGCTCGGCATACTTTCCAGCCTTAAGGAATCGAGCGATCCTACCGACGGGAAACTGAAGACCCGCCTTGGAAGATCGAGAGACAGATTTTGTAGACTTAGGCTTTCCTCTTCCTCCTTTCTTGGCATCGGCATCAGATTTGGAACTCATTTTCTTGAAGCGAGATAGATCTGAATGATAAACCCTAACCCTAGTTTTTCACAAAGCGGTAGTGACTTTTGATTTGGTACCTGAACATGAAAGCATTAAGGGTACGTTGTACGACTTTATAGTAGAAGTTTCTTCGTTTTGATTGGTCAGATCAACTTGACCAGGATCGCCAGCGTGGCACTCTAGTTCCTTCTACTCTTTTTGGCGCGGGAGAGTGCGAATTTCTGAAGACACCAGATTTCTTGAAATACCAAACTTACCCCTGGGTGTATCTTACAAACATATAAAATAAATAGTAAGTTACATTTGTAGTCCTTATAGTTTGTTGAAAATTTCTATTTTAGTCCTTATAGTTTTAAAATTATGATTTTTATCTCTATTATCTATAATTCATTACTTTTTTTGTCTTTATAATTTAACATATATTGTTTTTCTGTCCCTATGGTTTACAATTCATTTATATTTTAGTCATTTATACTTAAAAGTAATGTTTTGACCTTAGGGATGAAAATAGAAATGAAACGCAAACCATAGAAATAAAAGTCAAAATTTCAAAATCATAAGGATGAAATCCATCATCTTTAACAAACTATAGGGACAAAAAATGTAATTTACTCAGAAGGAAAAAAAAAGAAAGAATTACAAAAATCATACATGAGATTTGCCAAAAATCTGTTTTTCGTCCCTAACCTTTGGAAATTACAGCGTTTCATTTTCGTTGCAGTTTTTGTCCCTGACTGTTCGGTCAGTTAGAAGATATTGTCAAGTGTCCTCACATGTTACTCACATAAGGAACATTTGAACCATTTTTCATGTTTAAAAAAATAAGTGGACAATTTTTAAAGGTAATGTACATGCATTTAACATTTTTCAAAAACAATTAAGCATAAAATTAATATCTGCCAACGTAATATCAATTTTTTTTTCAGCTTCCCCCTCTACGATATCCTCTCACTCTAAGATCTGTTATCTCGACAATAAACCAATCATGAAACAATGAAATAGATACTGGAATCGAAGATCTAGAAAAATTGTTAAATAATTGATAAGAGAAATTGTTTATAAGATTTGTATGAGAATATGAAATTGAATGATGAAAGAAAATTTTGTGTGTGTGTGTGTATATATATATATATACATATACATATATAGATTTGGTATCATGTGAGACTAGACCCTTTTTTGTGAGACTCGTGATACCATATTTTTACACTTGAAACTTCACAGCAACATGGTTTGTTTTAAGAAAAAAACAAGTATACCTTAAAGATATACTTACCTAAAAGGTTCAGTGGTAGAGATAATCACTAAGGAAATTCACTTTTAAAATATTTTAATCACAAAGTAAGAAAAGAGTCAGTGATGATTTTGTTTTAAGAAAAAAAAAGTATACCTTAAAGATATACTTACTTAAAAGGTTCAATGATAGGAAAAAAAACACTGAAACAATTCTTTTAAAACAGTTTGATCACTGAATATGAAAAGATTCAGTGATAGTTGTAAGTTTTAGAAAAGAAGATAAGTATATATACTTTAGAGAGAGTGAGACAAATTTACTCAAGAGTTCAGTGATAGAGTGAGAACACTGAATTACTTCACTTATGTATCACCGAGTATTGCTTAGAGCTGGAGGAACTAATCCTCAACATTCCAAGTTCGCTGATCAAAATGTTAAATCTTGTCTCATCAAGATGCTTTGTAAAAAGGTCAGGGAATTGGTATTCAGTAGGTACGAAATGAAGTTCAATAGTTCCATCATAACCTAATCTCGGACAAAATGATATATGATCTCAATATGTTTAGTCTTGGAGTGGAGAACATGGTTGGTTACAATAGCAATAACGCTGGTGCTATCACAATAGACAGGGATCCTTGAGAGCTGAAGATCATAGTCGATGAGCTATTTTTTCATCCATAGGATTTGAGCACAACAACTTCCGGCAACAACATATTCAGCTTCAGCAGTTGATATGGATATTGAGTTTTGCTTTTTACTTGTCCAACTCACCAACTTTCCACCTATAAGCTGGCAGCCTCTAGTGGTGCTTTTCCTATCAATTTTGCAATCTGCAAAATCACTATCTGAATAACCAATAAGGTCAAAACCCGAGTCATTGGGATACCAAAGTCCCATATTTGGAGTTACCTTCAGATATCTGAAGATGCGTTTTACAGCAATCAGATGGGACTCCTTAGGTTCATATTGATATTGTGCACACAAACAAGTAGTAACTTGCTGTGAGATACAGCATGGAGCCGATCATTCCACTATAAACAGTAATGTTTACAAGTTTTCCATTTGGATCCTTGTTCAGCGAGAGAGGATGAGCCATTGGAGTCTTCATAGATGAGTTGTTGGTTAGATCAAACTTCTTCAGCATGTCCCCTACATACTTACTTTGATTGATAAAGAGACCTTTATCTGATTGTTTAATATGAAGACCTAGAAAGTAAGTTAGTTCTATCATCATGCTCATCTGATATTTTTTCTTTATGCGTTCAGCAAACCAAAAACATAAAGAGGGATTAGTGGAACAAAAAATTATATCATCAACATTAATTTGGACTAAAATAATGTGACCTTTAACTTTCCTAAGAAATAAGGTCTCGTCAAAATTTCCATGAACGAATTTCTCATAGATGAGAAATGAGGAGAGGGCATCATACAGGCACGAGGGGCCTGCTTTAACCCATAAAGAGCTTTATCCAATCAATAAACATGATTTTGATACTTTGGGTCAAGAAACCCTAGAGGTTGTTCAACATAAATTTCCTCTTGAAGTTTTCCATTTAGAAAAGCGCTATTTACATCTATTTGAAAGACTTTGAAGTCTCTATGGGCAACAAAAGCTAGAAAAAGTCGAATAGCCTCAAGTACGACTTTAGCCACTGGTGTGAAGGTTTCATCGTAGTTGATCTGATAATCCCATAAATGATTAATCAATAACAACAATTCAAGATCCAAGAAACTTAGAAATTGTAGAACTTAGAGAGTAGAAAAGTAGAGAAAGAATCTTCAAAGTTCAATTGTATTGATCTTTCCAATGCTTACAATTCAAAGTATGATTACAATGATAACTCTCTTACCAAAAACTACAAACAAAGCATCCTATATATACACAAAGAAAACACAAGAAGCATAAATGGATACAATATTTAAGTACAAAATATTGAATCTAAAATTCTCCTCCTTTAGATTCAAGCTTTAAAAAACAGCTTAAAAAATTCAGCAAAAAAATTCTTTAAACTCTTTAGCTGCAACAATCTTCAGAATTTATCAGCATCTTGATATCTTCAAAATTTATCTTTCAAGACTTTGTACATTCTCCTCCTTGTAGAAACTCCTCCTTTGAGTAACAAATTTTCTTTCTTCAAAACTTCAATTCTTCATGATCTTTCCCAGACTTTAACAATCTCTTAATCTTTAATAATCTTCTTCAAGAAACAAACAATCTTAACAATCTCTCCCTGAACTTTGTAGACTTTCAAACAATTTCTCTTTAAAGCAAATTTTCAACAATATCATTCTGAAACCAAATTAGAAATAATTTTCACCTTCACTTCTCTTTAAACACAACAATTCAAAAATTCTTCAATAATCAACAATAGTTTTTAATAATCTTCAGAAACTAACCTCACTTGACATCATCGATCTTCCTGAATCAAGTTATTCCTCTTGAAATAACACTTTTCATTCATATCTTTATATCTTTGCATCATGTCTTTGATAACGTTTCTCCCCCTCATGATGATTAGGAGAATCCTGAACATCATGAATAATCAAAGACTGAACTTTTATCCTATACAAACTTCTTTAGATATACACCCCTTGAAAAAATAGATCACATTATAGCCCCCCCCCCCCCCCCTTTGAATCTTGGGTAAAATTCTAACATAGAAGCACATTAGCAACTATTATTATATCAACTAAAAATTTATTGTGTAGCTTATGTTCAGAGTTGATAAAAATGAACATCTGATAGGACTTCCAGTAATCACTGAAGTAAAGTTTCAGAACTAACTTCTCAAACTGTTATGGTAATCTCACAAAGATATGCAATTTGAATCACAAAGACTTGTGAAAGTGTCAAAGAAAAACATCATACATATAATATTTGGCTCAATAGACTCAAAGTGCACAGAACAAAATTCGAAGACCGGAGATGCGTCTTCTTGTTTCAATATCTAAATCTTCCGAACGAAAAATAAATAGATTATATGATAAATCTTTGTGATATATGAAACAAGCACCTTTTTGTGAGATATTTGAGTAGCAAGGTGGGGTGACACGAGTAGTCGACACTGGGTCTATGTCTGTTTCAATATTCATCTCTAAAAAATGAGAATGAATAGATTATAGGGCAACCCGTTTAACTGTTTCGGTTTTGAAAGGGCTACATTTATTTTTTTAAGTCCTGTACCCACACTAACCATTTTCTTTTAGCTCGTAAACACTCAATCTCTCAACATTTTACCTCAAATACTCCCTTTCAAAATATATCTAACTTAGGGATGTGTTTCATGGGTAGGTCCTTCATGTTCTGGATTAACCATTGGAACTTCTAAATTCTTAGCACTTAGAAAATTATTGCACATTCAAAGATATATATGTTAAATCTTAGGAAAAACAATAAAGAATGAGTCCTGAATTGATGTATTTAGAAGTCGAATATGTAGAACATGTTCTGAACTGAGTTGTTCATAAGCTAAAACATTTAAGGTATCTGCTTAGAATTATCAAAAAAACAAATTCAAATGATAAACATAATGACTCAGTACGCACAGTGTTTAACAAGAAATGTACAATGATTAGAATGTCTAATTGTGAAGAACAAGTCACAATTATTATTTCATATTAGAATTGAATCATTGATATGACATAATGCACAATGAAAACAATTATAATTTCAAACGAGTGTATTTCCACACAAAAAATATCAACATATATATGAGACGTGGAGATAACTAATTTTAAGAACAGTTGAATCAGGCATTAGAATTTTGCTTGATGAGAAAATACACAAGTATTAACTCAATGAAATACCTGTTCAAAGATAGTACTCGTTTAAAAAAATCATTTTAATCCACACTTCTTAAATCATAAAACATTTAAGATCAAAGAAGTGGTTTAAACATTTGTAAAAACATTTCAATATACTTAGAAGTTGTTCTTCTTCTAAACATATGGAAAAAAAATAAGCACAAAAAAAATATTGATTTAAAAAAAAATCGTTAAACACTCAAAAAGTTCATCACTCAAAAACCAGCCGATGAAAAGAATTTTATCGCTCAACATTGGACTCCCATTGCTCAAAGATCAATCCTTATCTCTAGCTCATCTCTCAAGACTATCACTCATCACTCACTACTATGTCAACACTCATCGCTCAAAGCTTTATCCGTATAAGGACTTTATCGCTCACCACTATGTCTGGATAGAACTCTCATCTTACAACATTATGTCCGGATAGCTACTTCATCGGACAAGGCATTATCCGGATATACACTTCATTGCACAGGGCTTTGAGCGGATAAGCAACTTCACGATCAAGATATTGTTCGGATTATGCTCTCATCGCGCAAGGCATTGTTTGGATAGCCACTTCATCAAACAGACCTTTGTCCGGATTAAGTGCTCATCTCCCAATTCTTGAATTCTTAAAAAAAACTATAAAAATTATATTAGTTAAGTATCCGTCTTTCATTCAGATATGAAAAAAAAATACTTACTCCCCCTGAAAAATAGACCATATAAAAATTCAAACACTCCCCCTGGAATTATTATCATATTTAAAAACAGTACAAAAAAAATAATCATTATACTTCTTTGAAACAGATAAGCCGAGGTCTTAAACTGTGTTGTTCAGAAGCTGTCATGAAGACCAGGTCCTGAACTAAATTTTTCACAACATGCTTAACCAAACCAGAATGTGTTATTGGTGAAGGCAAAGGTAATATATGTTTGGACGCTCCTAACGACATATACTCTATAACACCATTTATCATTTGGAATGAACCACCACTTTGGACATACACATAACCATTATCACTTTGACGTGATTTCATATTTATGTTAAAGATTGTGATGGTAGATTGTGTTAATGGTTGTGAGAGTAGAAGATGGTACATCAACAAAAAGGTGGGTCATAGATTGTCTTTACTAAAAAACAAAGTAGAAGTCAAAATCACCCCGGGGTGATTTGCATGAGATCTATTAAAAATTAGATTTTTGTCTCTCAAATAGTATGCATGTGGGACCAATCCATACCTTATTATGTATAATCCCCTTTCCATGAACTAAAATCGCCCCTGAGGGGTGATTTTGGTGGTTATTTTGTGAGAGAATTCTGAAAAATGGTCATTTTGTTAGTGTATCATGTATAAACTGGTATTTTGGGTAATTTTCCCAAACAAATGGTATAAATCTGTTGTAAAGTTCATGTTCAATTCAAGAATATGAAGAAAGAAGAGCGTGAAACAATGAACTTTGAATCAAAGATGAAACAAAGTTCATGAATAAATACAAAATTTGTAGATCGAATTAATGGAATTTAGGAATAGATAGAGATCATACAATATGATTCGAAATGGAAAATTTCAAGAAACTTATTACAAATGTATTAGGGCTTTATTTGATATCATAGTTGTATCGTCTTGTTTTTGTCTTGTATATAGAACACTTAGGTGGTGTTTGGTTAGATGTATTAAACAGTAATCAATAAGAATGAAAACAAAAGAAACTATTTGGTTTTCTATAATATAATGGGCTCATTCCCCTAAGAGCCCAAAATTCCATTCCTGGTTAAACTGGGGGAATGAAAATTCATTCTCATTTTCATCTCTGTCATTTCCATTTTCATTACTTATCATGAGCCAAGCAGACCCTTAATGACAAAGGGATTAAGAATTATAACTACAAATCAGGTAACTGTCTTAATTTGATATTATTCAACTTGACAAAATTCAATCTATAATTTGTAGTAAAAATATTTTCTTATGGGAAATAAATACAACTTTTTTGGAAGTTTGAGAGTTAGGGTCTGTTTACCCAAATACTTACTCGGTAAGTGATTATTTATAGGAGTCAACACTATAATTTACCTTGATGCATAAGATTTTAGTACATCAAAACGTGTAGTCTGCAACATTTACCGGGTAAGCACTTACCTGGGTAAGAGCCGTCATCTTCACTTACCGGGTAAGACTTTACATCCTTCTCATTGCTCTTACCCGGTAAGATTCTTGGCCCTTGTCATGTTTATCCGATGAGAAAATTTATCTCGTAAGCACTTACCAAACAAGCGTTTAATAAACAGCCCCTTAGGGACCGTTTACCAAATGCTTACCCAGGTAAGCACTTACTATGTTACATTACCTTATCAGAAAAATGTGGCAAGGACCAAGAATCTTATCTAGTAAGAACGAGAGAGGGAACAAGAGTCTTACTAGGTAAGTGAAGACGATGACTCTTACCACGGTAAGAGCTTATTGTGTAAATTATTACATATGATGTTTTTGTGGACTAAAATCTTACCCGATAAGTAAGTAATAGTGTTAAATTTTACCGGTAAGCACTTATTGAGTAAATTTTTGGTAAACGGCCCCTAAGATACATATATGTTAAGCACATAAAAAAAAGCTAAACCTAAAACATTAAAAATATGACCCTAAACACAATTAACAATTTGTGTCTAAACATAAACATGTAACAGTTTGAACCTAAACAATAAACAATTTGATTATCTAAACCTAATTCACACAAAAAACCAACCACCTTTAAATAAAATGAAAACAATTTGATTGTAGTTAACTAGATAATTTTTTTTTGAAGTATATAATATTTATATACGGCAAATGCAACAAATAAACTCACACACCCTTCTCACCTATGGTGAAGTTTGAACCCCTGACCTTCTAGAAGGCCAAGGGATACGATACCGTTAGGCCAAAGGCCCTTTGGTAGTTAACTAGATAATTTTTAAAGAGAGTAACATAAAGAAATCGAATTTATGGGTTCTACGAGTAGAGCTCAACACGGCAAACATAAGTACGAGAGGATGCAATGACCAAAATCATGTTCTAAAGTATAAGGGGGTGTTTGGTTAACAGAATGATTTATGAAGGAACATAATCTGTCAAAGAACTTGGAATCTTGAGGGAATTGGAATGAAATGTTATTAGATTTGATAAAATGTTTGGTTGGAAGAAATGAAATGTAATTTGTCTAATGAATTGGAATCTGTCTGTTTGGTTTGCAACAGAATTGGAATGAAATGACGAAAAAGGATAAAGATACCCTTTCTTTAATATTTTTTACATTTTTTACGACGTTGAAGAAGAAGAAGAAGAAGAAGAAGAAGAAGAAGAAGAAGCAATCCAAGCTGAAACCATCACCTAAATGGAGCTTTTTACATTTGGGTCTGTTGAAAGCACAAGAAATCGAGTTGGTGGATCTAAAGAACCGGAGCCCAAGAGGCGAGGGAAGCATGAAGGATGAAACCCAAAAGAAGAAGACGAAGCATTTATTGTTGTTTGGTGGGTGTAAATGCTCTGCAAATGCGGTTGAAAGTAGAGTTTCATGGCAGATTCCGATGGTCAAACCAACAATTTGGAAAAAAAAAGATGAAATTGGGAATTTCAAAAGGAAGTAAAATTCTAATGAGAGTATTTTTGTTATTTAAACAATTTTGAATGGAATGGATTTTAATTCCATCACTTTTACGAAGGAATGGTGAAATCCTCAAATGAGGAATGTTTGGAATTCAATTCCATTCAATAGGCAACCAAACGTAGGAATGGAATTTGGTCAACGGAATTGACCATTCCAATTCCATCAGATTCCGACGAATTTCAACGAACCAAACGCCCCTTATTAAAATCGAAGTTGATCATATTTTGTGTATATCATTATTAAGTGGTTTGAACTTGGTAAGAGTAACTTGTGTATTATACATTTAGTTAACAATGACGTGTCAATAAAAACAGGATAAACATCCCACTTTTGCAACGTGGTTTTCGGGCTTTGAGAAATAAAACACAGATTATTTGAATTTTTGCAACCATACCAAACCAATCGAGAGATCTTTCACTGTGATATTGGGCCTAATTCTTCAGGGTCGTGTAACTGTTTGCTATCATTTTCAATATATTAATATTCTCATTCTCTACAAACTTGTTAAAATCGAGTGACACCATGTGCACTTATGCCGGTCCACACCCCTTTACGAGTAAAGTTAAGGTGTCCAATATGCAAGTCCAATCAACATGCACTAAAATATCAATCAAATAATGAAAGAAATATACTTGCATACGAAGTTATGTATCAATAATACATAACACACCACCGTCATTATGACCCATGTTTTCAAGAAAATGGTTGAAAAGCGTAACATTGGTAGTGAAGTTGGAAAGACGTAATAATATTTGGCTTAATCTTACACCTTTTAGAGTTTATGTTTTGCAGTAAAAAGCGTATGACGTCATCCTCTGGAGTACCCTACCGTACTGGTCCCGTGACTATAATGGGGAGATAAATCGTTTAGTGGATGGTGTCTAGAATCAAAACACAGACTTCTCACTCTTGGGATAACACGGTTTCCTATTTCTCAATGATATTTCACGATCAACACAATCGGTTTAATCCCATCATTTCATTGAGATCTTTTTATAAAACAAATCAACTTTGATTCTTGATTAAGCGGTGACACGGCCTCCATATTCATCCACAAGCTCGCCCCTGCTTCTCTATATCAACCAGGCTAAAGACATACGACAGTGCTCAACAGTTTCAAGCGTTTATTTTTCTCAAATTACTTCCTCTAACACCCGTTTATCATCAATCTTAATGAACGTAGCCTTACTGAAAATAGTCGTATACGCATCCAAAAAGATCATCAAAATGTTTGTGTATATATGTATGTATATATGCTCATATACACAACTACATCACCTACCCCAACAATAATATAAAGATACAGAAAACTTACTTACTCTCTTTATCTTTGTGGCAAAATAAAATTATCAGAGTAGCATACAAGTCTAGAATCATTGCATACTCTTATCAATGAACATTAAACTACACAACAATGGAGAATTGCTCCATCAACCTCAAGAATATGAGAGAATTTTCATAAATGAAAAGCAAAAAAAAAAAAAGAATATGATGTGATATGAAAGGAAGCTGTCATCTCTGAGGTGGGTTCATTTCTATTTCTCCATTTCTTGTTGACTCCATTCTATTCGAAAACTTCTCTGCTTCTCTTGCGATTTGAATATCGCAAGGTTTACAGTGTTGCATAAACATTTTTATAACGAACCGAGGAATCATGGCCGTTACAAGAATCCCAAGAAGGCAAATCCAAAACAATCCGCTGCTTGCTAGATTAAAGATCGCCCTGTGATGGTAAATCAAAGATAGAGAGAGGGAAATAGTCGTGTTAGTTTACATAATCGAATAAGAAGCTTATATGATTGGTTTCAGTTATTTAAGTAAAACAGATGGTTTGACTTTTGGGGTCAAACCCGCCGCTTTTCGACTTCGCAGTTGCTATATTTTTATCAAATCTTGGAGAATGGCTTAAAAAGTAATTTGACATAAAAAAAATAGGAGAAAGTGTGTCATTTAATGAGAAGCTTATATTGGCAGAAGACAAATGATTAGTTACAAATATCAAAGAACCACCCTTTCCAAAAGAAAACGACTCGGTTTGACTTTTAAGGTCAAACCCACCAATTTTCTGCTTCAATATTGCTGCATTTCGGAAATGGCGGCTCTACCCCTTATGGTAGAGGTAAGGTACCGTACATCCTACCCTAGGTCCCAAAGCAGACCCTGCCTCTTTGTGGGATATACGGGATTTATTTTGTTTTCTTTGGTTTGAAATGCTGCAGTTTGACTAATTCTCAGTAATAGCTTCAGAACTACATTAAACCATATACAAATTGAAATCCTTTGTATTAAACCAAGCAGAAGCCTAAATGGGCAGAGGAATATTTGTATACTTTCTAACCCCCATATGAGAAGTTTGGGTAGAGCCGGATCTAAGCATTAGCTAGGTAAGCGCCCTGTAGTAAGAGGAGTGATTATGAACCCTGTCTTCACTAGAATTTCAAGAAAAGTTCAAAAGTTACCTTAGAAACTACATATACAAATAGGAAAGTAGGTTCATTTTACAAAATCAACAGGAGTTGAAAGTATTAAAGAACCCTCCATTCTACAAAAAAGAGACAGGTCGAATTTGAGGTCAAATCCACCGATTTTTGAGTTCAAAATTGTTATATTAGCATATTGAAATTTTAGAAACAGTTGAAAGTTGCATCAAGACATGAACAAATAGAAAAATGCCACGTCCTAATTTACAAAATCAAATGAGAAGCATATATTGGTAGAACATATGGTTAGTTTGAAGTACAAAAGAGGGACCATTTGCATCGCCCTAGCGGGTAAGGAGGTGGACATCTTTGCAGAAAAGAGGACAGAGGGAAGTAATATTTTAACGTGTATACATCAAAGTTCACTTAAGCATGAAAAAAATAAGAAAATGTTATTGAAGTTGAAAATTAGTCGATTCAACCAAAAATATATAGCACGCCTTTTTGTTTGGAGCCAATAAGAAAGTAGTGTGAAGAATTAGATTGCATTTTCTTTCTAAACCGGTGTTTAAATGCACTATAGAGAGTACTGCATACATCCTAACGGAAACAGCCTCTCTACTTCTAGTTTCTCTGGACCCTACTTCATGTGGATTTACTGGGTTCGTTTGGTTTGGTTTTATTCAAAGGACAAACCTACGCCTAGCACCAAAGTAGAGATACAATTTCAACTTTCAAATAACCATCAATTTCTAGTATTTCAAGAAAAACTGGTGCCTACATTAAGCTTCATATCATAGACTTCAACAAAATATTAGTTGGTACTAGGCTTGAAAAAATTATCCGTTTCAATGTAAATGCAGATTGGCTAAGAAATTATACGTACCAGTAGCCAGGCAACACGGGAACAGCATCTATGACGATAACACAAATGCATGTAGCAATAATTGACCCCCAAATTGACGCATGACTGATCCAGGTCCACCTTATAACATCCATAGCTAAGTGTATATTCACCATAAACACAACTGCCAACGTCCACAAATCTCCTATGCTCGAACTATCAATTTCGCTTTTCCAGTATGCAAATAGGGGAATGAAGAAGGCAACGACACTCTGCCACAACATGTCCGCCATTGTAAGCCAAAAGAGTTTTGCATTATAGCTTTCTTGTCTCTGTCCAGCTCCGTAAAGCTGAGGATATGTCATAAGAGACCTTCTACTTAGATCTTTGTCGAGAATCCCAATAACAATCGTAGGTATTGCAGTGTAGATTATGGAATATAAGACACTGCTCCATTCGGTAATAGCTGTGGTTAAAGTGAAGCCTGTAAAGAGCACATACCTGGAGGAAAACATGAATGCATTATAGGATGAGACTTAATCTTCCATCTTGTGTCGATCAGTGAGAGTGGAAATAATATCACCACAGCAAGAATTACTTATAATGAACCATTGGGACTAAGTAGCTGAACAGGTCAGACCTTGGGTTGGTCCTCATTGGTCACTGGTCCGGGTCCCCCCCTGGCCATTGGAGGTTTTCCCAGATGTAAACTTCAGGACCCCATTGGATTAGTCGAGGTGAGCCCAAACTGGTTCGGACACCCACAGTTATAAAAAAGAACTACTTATAATGATTAATGACCTCTCCTTTTCTAAAGATGGTTTACCAAAATTTCTCAGCCTAAAAGCGTCTGAAAGCGTGACTAAATAGATGGTTTACAAAGCATTTCCTTTCTTTAATTAGTTTTTTATGGGTCTTTCTCACAAAGATTAGCATATTTAACTGAAAGTTCTTCACCAGGCAATTAGGAATGTTTTTAATTGATTTGTTATTTCGTAATCCTCATTTCAATTATGTGTGTGCATGTCTTGTTGGTCTGTGAAGCTTCTGAACTTTTGGAATTAAACCGGGTAACAAGCACTGTCATCCTACTCTTGGAATATATCTATACTATATTATAAAGCATTTGACAAAAACTCTTAAAAACATTTTTTTTTATGTACAAAGTATTGTTTATTAATGCATATTACTTAAAATTCAATATTACAAGTAAATTGTGCATGAGTATAACTTATTAAAGCTTTATGTTTGAATTCGTGTAACTAACTGCGGATAAACATAATCAAATAGAGGATAAATATCTCATTTTAAAATATAAAAAATCTAAAATATAATTAGGATAATTATTGAGTTCTAACAGAATACTTAATCATTATTTTTATAAAAAAATATTATTAAACCTAAATTAAGTTACTTCGTTACGTTAAATTAAATTATAATAAAAATTTTGAATTAAAAAAAATAAACAAATAATGGAAGATAAATTTAGGAAAAAAATAGTGTATTATTTTTAATTTAATTAATATCTTAAAGTGATATTTATCTTTCATGTGAAGTTAGCATCGATTNTGAATTAAAAAAAATAAACAAATAAGAACATTATTAATTAGATAATTTGATACTAATATTGATATATTTTTTGTAAATTTTATATGATATTTTCAAATTTATATTTTATTCAAAAATAAAAACATTATTGATTTCATGGACAAAAAATAAAACGAAACATTAAAATGGAAATGTGTCTCGATGCATTGCACGAGTACCCTTCTAGTATATATATGTGTGTGTGTACACAGGCAATTATGATATAACACACACGGGTTGGGTCCCGGTGAGAATGGAAGTTACTCTGAGAAGGGTAAGAAGGGATCTCCACCCTTGGATCAATCCTAATGGCAGATCAACACTAATGCAGTGCACCGAGATGCACGACATCAATTCCCGAGATAAGCGCAATTCATGGGGTGGGGTGAGATTAGAAGTGATCAAGGGTCCAGATATCTTCTTAAGCTTCTCACCTTAACTCCTATTCTCACACGATCCTTCGTCTAACACACACACACACCCATATATATATATATATATATATATATATATATGCATGCACACACACGACACACCACACACACACACACACACATATATATATATATATATGCACACACACTATAAGTGTTTGTGTAACGCTATTTGCAATTAGAATACTTTTTCGAGTCAAGACAAACTAACCAATACAAATTCATACTACTGCGAGTCTCAAAATAGAGTAAATGGTTGACTTTGGAGTGCCAAATGGGCTGCCTCAATCTCAAATTTGATAACTGTTAGGTCATCGAGAATAATATTAATAGCTACATTGAACTGTAAGAAAAGTATTATCATAGAAACTTAAGAGGGAAAAACTAAAAGCACCCATCTTGATTGGATTTGAGAACTATCATGTTTAAATCTTCAAAATCAAGCATGCACTTATGGAACTAGGGCGCAAAGAGATTTAAAAAAATCGAATGGTAATTTAATGTCTTTCTAGTTGAAGGTAGACACTCACCAGAATAAAACGAGGACAAACAGTGCATTCCTGTAGAAATTATAGAGAATCATATAGCCCATCCGCTGGTAATTCCAATGACCATGGACCAACAAAAGCGGAACCAAGAACCTGAACTGGCCCATTGCAAAATCTGATGCCATCACAGCTTGCCGACCCTCTTGGCCACTGAGGCCAACTCCTACATCAGCCATTTGGATCATCGAAACATCATTGGCACCTGCAATATTTTATCAGAAACGTCTATCCTTAGACATAAGTTTCATGGGCGACAATAATTCTGAAAAAAGAGGTGATCTTCTAGCACCAACTTCAATATGATTCTCTTAAGTTTTAGAAAAATATTGGCATCAAATACGTAACTAAAGCCATAAACATTGTGATTTCAAGAGTTGGCTTCAAAAGATATGGTGCATATGTTGGAAGTTGCAGTCTTGGTTTTCAGCATCATCTCATGTCAATAGACTAAGGCTATGTTTGGCAAACTAGTTGATAAGCTAGTTGTAACTCAGCTGGTTGATAAACTATTCATTTTTGGTAAAAACTAGCTGATAAGCTAGATGATATGTAAATTGACTTAAAAGAACATGTTGAATTAATTGGAAAAAGACAAGGGGCATAACTGGAAAAAGAAAAGGTGAAAAAAATCATTAGAGCTTATTGAAATAGCTATTCAAAAAGCTAGCTTATGGCTAACCAAACGATATTTTTTCAATAAACTGAAGAAATAAGCTAACTTGTGGTTGACAAACATGGCCTAAGAAATCATGCTTACCATCCCCAATGGCAAGGGTCATGTCCCTTGTCCTATTCTTAATCAGCGCCACGATCCCAGCTTTCTGTAGTGGGGCCACTCGACAACATAGTACCACAGCACATTTACTGGCTAGCTCGAACAGCTGGAAGACAAAAATCAAGAAATTGAGACGATAAATTAAACAACCAGAAGAAATCTGACGTTTAAAGATTATTCACCTGCTCTTCGAGTTCTGAGTCAAGGATATAAACAAGGCTTGTTCCGTCAATGATTAGGGCAACGGAACTTGCATCATCATCGGAAGCACGAGTAACATTGATGAGTTTTCTAGACGTAATTAATGCATCTTCCAAACTCTTTCTACATGACACTTTAGAGTTGTTGTTGATAATAATCTGGACCATCTTGCTTGTTAAGAGCTTAGAAGAGTAGCCAATCGAAATTGCCGTTTCTTGCTTGTCACCGGTCAAAACCCACACTTTAATGCTGGCCGTTCGCAGAGACTCGATAGCTTCAGGAACACCTTTTTGCAATCTATCTTCAATCGCAGAAGCACCCAATAAGCTGAGATTGTTCTCTAAATTGATGGCAACCTTTCGAAGCAATCCTGCCCTACCCATCAAAGCAGTGCTTGCAATCTCATAAGAAGATTGCCATTGTTCGAATTCAGATATACTCAGTCCACGCATTCCCACGACGAGGGTCCTCAAACCAATGGAAGAATACGAATGAAGATGGGTCTCAGTTGCTTTTACCACATCCAAGTTCAAGGATTTATCTATTATCTTAAACATGGTGGTGTCGGCACCTTTAACAAACACTTTTACTGTGCTGTCAGGGTATCCTAGTATAACAGACATCCTTTTTCGGTCACTATCAAACTCATGCATTCCAAGAACATTAAATCTGCACTGCCAAATTAGAAAGAAATACAGAAAATTAGAAAGATTAAGATTCTACAAGGAATCAGAGACTGGCGATAGAAGCAGTAAACCAAATGAGACCAGCATATCGCACCCGGAGGTGGGTCTTCCCCCCCCCCCCCCCCCCCCCCCAAAAAAAAAAAAAACCACCATAAAAAGTAGATCAGATGTGTGTGAAAGGTGGAAATGCAGATGTGCAAAAAACTGAAAAGCTAGATATGAGTAAGCTACAATGATACAAAAAGAAAGAAAGAAAGACAGATATGCTAAATTTTGAGAAACTAGATATGGTTAAGCAACACCATTATAATGGAAGCTTACAGGAAAAAGAAACTACACACCCCTAGTCTAACTTAGGATTGCTTCATATTTTTCTAATTTCGAGCTTTGATCTATAATCAATTATGTTATGAAGTAGAAATAGCACAATCTAAACACACTCATTAGATGTGGCACAGATGTGTTAGAAGTCTAAAAGGAATACACATCATACCTCTGTCTTTCTCCTTGTATATCAATAACTATGTGGCCAGAGGTTCGTTCAATGAGCATAAAACCATAAGCAGCAGCTGCATAGACAAGTGCTTGTTCATCTGGAGATTCCCCTTGATAATCTATCAACTTCTCAGTGGGATCAGATGTGTTGACAACAATAGGCACAATTGTGTTGCAAGCAGCCAATGCAAGGAAGAAATCATATATCTCTTTGGACTTTGTGTCATTTCGAGTTTGTGATAGTTGAAGAAGCTCCCGGTCAACCTGTACCTTCATCTTTGGCCTCCATACCTGCCCCTCCACTGAAATCAGATGACGGCAAGAAAAGATTGTTCAGCATTCATTACAAAAGACTAATTACTCCAAGTACATGAAGAACAATCACAAATATGAAAATAAGAAAAGGAAAACTTGTAGCACCTTGAATGCTGTATCCCCCTTCTTCACCTAAAAATTCAGTTTTCTCCCCACTGTAATTTACACCTGAAATGCTGGCAAATTGGAATTCCATCTTGTTTTCAGTCAATGTACCAGTTTTGTCAGAGAATATATACTTTATTTGTCCTAAATCCTCATTTATATTTAAAGCGCGGCACTGGAATCTAGTGTTTGATGTTGCATCAAACATCTTGTCATCTCGGATCATGAAGTAAGCTTGACCAACTCGCACAAGCTCCATGGATATGTACAGCGAAATGGGTATCATAATCTGAAACACAATCACTGACATCAAAAACGAAAAGAATATCTCCATTCCCCACCCATAATATTTGTAATTCTCTACTTCTTGCTTGGAGTAATCCTTTCTTCTATAAAAGGGCATAATATCAAGCTCGTCTCGATGGCGCCTCAACCAAACACCAGCACAAGCAGAAACAATTGTGCATAGAACAACAAGGAAAGAGGATAGCAAGATAATTTCCCTATTCATGTGCGTCTCAAGACGGCTCCTTTTAGATGGGGCACCAGAGTTGTTGAGCATAGCTTTGGTCTCCCTTCCAGCATACACTGCAACTCCTACTGCCCAATCAGTGTTCTTGAGCACACAGCCTCGAAGAACTATATTGGAAGGGCCCAGAGACACCCGCTTCCCATCAATCTCCATGTTAGCTTGGAAACCATATATATTGCGATTGGGCTTCTCACAATTGATCAACCCACTAATCATATCCTTCTCAGGAATTCTTGGAAGGGTTTCTTGTTTTGCATACCGTGTCTTCAGATTTGATTCACCATCCAAATTAATAGTCTGGACATAAGCAACCCCAGTTGGGTCACTAGTCGAAAGCAGCACAATATCACAAGGCATAGTTTCGTTAGCTAAAATTTTAATGACCTCACCAACTTGAATATCTTTCCATTTCTTCTCTTGAAATCGATCGTTCATCAGAACAGATGACATTCGGTTGTTTTCGATTCTGTCTGACCTATGGCGTCTCCAATCCTCATAAGCATCTTTAACTGCTGTAACTAATAATACACTTGCCAATGGCAAAATGGAGGCACCACGCCCAAAAACTGCAAGCTGGGGAAGCTGATTGAGAATGGCAATGACCAGGAAATACATGTAGGCAACTCTGTGGAATTGTTCAAAGAGATTCCTAGGCAAGAATGTTAAAACAGAATACTTGCCGGTTCTAATAGAATTGCCAGCAAATTCAAACCGTTCATTCGTCTTTAATGGATCATTTACATAGACCAACCTCGCATCCTCGTCGTTGATCTCTCTCCGGGACATGGACATGCTAAACCCTTCTGACCCAGCACCACCTCGAGATCCATAGTGCACACCCTTTGATCCGAAATTGACCGAGTTCGCCCTCCAGCTGTTCGACGAAATGCTTTGCTGAGAAGTCGAATTTTGCAAGGTATCTGGTCGTTGTTGTGGGTGAAGATTTACAATCTGAGAACCATCCGAGTTCTTACTGGATGTAGGTGATGAAAGATCAGGCCCAGCAGATATTGGACTTCGAAAGAAAGGACCCGGAAGTGGTCGATTGGAAGCCATGATCTAAACATCAACTTCTCAACATCTCACTTGTGCTTAAGCAGATCGAAATCAACCATATGCAAATAAAATCTCCAAATTACAACAACAAATATGCAGAATGAAGATCCACCATCTCCACTTGTAGTTTATCGGTTCTTAAAAATAAGAAAACCCCCCACTAGATGTGTAAAGCGCCAAGTAATTAAAGCTAATCAATTGAACTATGACACAAAAGTAACACCAACACGAGAAAAAAAGCCTTTCTTGCTCATTTGACACCAGCAAGAAAAAGATTGGCGAATGGTGGGGTAAAAATCATAGGTCAAAGAAGATATTCTTGAAAGGGAACAAAAATTTACAAGAAATTAGGAAGGATTTCTACTGGGTGTTGACTCTTTTGGAGAACGGAATCGAATCGAAATGAAATGTCAGCAGAATTAAATACGGTTTCTGGAGAACTTTTTTCCGACAGAAGGAAGGAGGAATGAGTTGTAAGAAAGAGGGTTTTTGACATTAAAAAACTTATTTTGTGGTGTAATCAATAATGGCGGATTAAAGGATGCGGGTGGTTGCTCAAGTTGACCAGAGATGGATGAACTGAACTGAAGTTGGGGCGCAAATGGTAAATGCCTCTGGACGTTATAACTTATAACACCTTGAATGGAATGTTTTCCTAATTCCACCCATTTTTTAAAATATTTTAATAGATTTTTCCAAAGAATAAATAAAATAAACATTATACGAAAAACTCCACCAAAATATTATGTGTTTTCATTGTTTACAATGTATTTTATGATATCATAACATGTATAGATTGGATGTCACAATAGACATCTGTAAGTATCAGTTAGCATATAGAGAGAATGATTCTAATTCAAAATTTATATGGAATTTTCTTACGAAGAGTAATGAATAAAAGCTGGTGGCTCGACTTCGGAAGCAAATTCGCGTGTAGGCAGCGCTATCTGTTATACCGTTGACTCTATCTACGAGTATAAAGTGACTATCACAGTGGAATGTCGGAGAGGAGAGAGATAATTTCTAAGAACCTAAAATGACATTATTTAAACTTTGAACTCAAAATCAGCAAAACTGTTAATTTCTTAATTTAAACTTTGTTTTATGTTGAGATTAAATCTCACAGATCTCAAAAAATACCGAGTTCTCACTTGACTGCTTATATATATATAGGGAAGGTTCAAATGAGAACTTCTGTGATTTACAAGAACGCAAGAACAACTCAATAACCACATATTGTGATAAAAATAAAATTAAAAGATTTTTAAAATTAAAATTGAAATTGAAAAAGATTCAAAAAATTTAAAATTAAAAAGGTAATAATGGAAATGATATCATCAAATCTTTTAAACACGATCATTATGTTTTAAACACGACCATTATTATCATTAGCCTTATCATTATCTAGTAAACGATTACGAATTCAAGGAGACTCATAACTTCAAATCGCAAAAACAACGGAAGCAAACATTGATCGACGGTGATCAACCAAGAATTCGCAACCCTAGTCGACCAAGAACCTTAATCGAGAAGCCATTGCATGCAACAAGCGGACAAATTCAAGGTATCTTACAAAATTATTCGTTTTGAATAAGTTTTTAATCGATTAGTTGTGATACTCATGTGATATCAATGTCACTCGATTTCATCATGGTTTCAATTGGTTATGTTAGACATTATCACAACGATTTCGAATGGTTTCGATAGGTTAGGATTATACTAGGTGTGATAATCATGTGATCTGGATGTGATAATCATGTGATAGGGGTGATAATCACTGTTATACATCACTTGGGTTATCGTTTTGGTTGATAAGTTAAAATTTTGGTGTAATCATATAATATGAGTGTGATAATCATGTGATATGGGTGTGATACTTATGTGATAGAGGTGTGATATGAAGAAAAGATGTTAAGCCATCAACTATCTGGAGATTATCATGAATGAGAAGGAGAAGAAGCATGAACGTAGGAGAAGAAGAAAATTACCAAGAGTAAAACGTGGAACGTGAAAGGATAATTATGGTTAATTAAAATAAAATAAAAATTATAAAAATTACATAATTACATTATTGTCCTTATTAAATTATTTATATATAATAAAAGTTAATTTATTAATTCAAAAAGTTTGAGGTTATTGGGTTGTTTTCGCGTTTTCGTAAATCATGGGGGTTCTCGTTTGAACCTCCACCTATATATATATATATACTAGAAGCGTATTCGCGCAATGCAGCGAGATACATCGTATTTTTAATATTTCATTTTATTCTTTATCTCAGTCGATGTTATAATATGACTTTATGTGATTTTGAGAAAGCGATGATGTTTTTATTTTTGAATAA